TCCAAACTAAATGAATATTAGAGTATGTATGATTAATCTATTCAACTGTATGTTAAGTGTTTTTTTTCTCTCTCTCTTCTTATTCCAGGACAACTTAATGTGACGGATAACAGCTATGAGACGCAGTCATTGGCGTCGACTGAATGCCAAAGCCACGGCCAACATCTTTGCGAGTTGTGGAGGTAGACAAGGCTTTTGCAGATAGCTGTTACGGAATACTGCCGGCAGATACCAGCCTGTGGTACGCCGTGCCAGACAGCCAGGCGGTTGTTAGTCTTAGCGGCGTCACCCAACACGGGCTACCTATGATTTCTCCCTCCCCCGCCGTCTGCTGCCCGGGGCTGCGGCGCGACCCTCAAGACCCCATAATAACGGCAAGCAAGTACACTCGCGAGGATTTGGCCGGGCAGGCGCGAGCCTGCTCCGACCTGGCCGCTCACCCCTGCACGCTGCCCGAGCTGAAGGCTGCTTCCCGCAGAGGCTACCAAGACCCTTTATACGGTTGGCCCTTCTTTGCGATACCTAACCGCGATGTCTGGGTGCCCCCTCACGGATGTGGTGAAGGCTACACTGGCCCCCTCTGCATAATTGACACTTGTGGTGAAAATTATGTTGGCCCTGAGTGTTACGAGGGTACCGTGGTAAACACTCCGAGACCATATGAGAAGTCTAACGTAATTTGTTGCCCAAACCTGTACTAGACCCCGTGCGACCCTAGGCCTACTTTATTGACAATATTTCAATCGGCAATGTAATTAAAAATGAAAGCGCGATCGTTAAAAAAAAAACAGTCCTTTGTAGGGAGATGCGCTTTTCACAGAGCCATTTGAGAAAGAAATTACATCCCTCGGATCCCAAACGTAAACAGCAAAGCCACACTTTCCTCGAGTTCTGAAAAGACTCGTGTAAAATGTTTAAAGGTGTCCTGAACAACACAGGTCACAAAAGGTATGTAGCTGATCTGCAAAACTTACACATGAACGTAGCTAGTGACGGTCTGCAAGTTGTTACGTTTTACAGGCTGCCTCGATGTAAATGTCTCGATGTTGCAATTTAGTATGAGTACATCAGTCTGAAATGGTCTTAATACACAGAGGACTAGCAATGTGTAAATTGAATAGTGGAAATACAATTCTGTCTCAATCTTTTTGTCTGAGAAAATACAGCAGACGTTGATAGATTCAACTACCGATAAACTGGTACTACTGATACGTTTTTGTGAGTAGCGATTTTACATGGCACAAAACAATAATGATGCTGTGTATGGTATCCCGTGCAAAGCACCAAATTGCTGTGCGTCATTAGAGTTATGCGCAAATAATACCTCATTCATGTAATCGCGCAGGCTACCGGTACCGGTGTAAATTGCGAGCTTGTATTAATTTGTGTATTTGTGTATGAGTTGCGTGTTATAGATTGATTTATATAAACTGAACTTGTGCCTTGGCCTTGGTCACCTGACATTTTCTTTTTTAGTTAAATGTTCGCTGGTACTGGTTTAGGAAAATGACAGAATCGAGAGATCTTCGTGCATGCTGTGAATGTTTCTTTTAATTAAATACCCGGTGGTCTATTGGTGCTTCTGTCAGTGATGGGTCCCAGAACATTAATATATAGCGTTTCGTACATAAAATACCGTTTACATTAGGTATACTGTTCTTTCTGTCTTGTGTAGGTGTTGCTTTTTAACATTTTTTTTTTAATTATTGATCCATCAAATTTATCACATTCTTCTTGGGCTCTTAAATTTTCGATTTTAAGCACTTTAATCTAATTGTATGACATTGAAATGCACTCATTTCGGATTAAAGCCAGTTTTACATTAGTATTATAATTACTCAGCATTAAAACAAACAATAAATTATTAAAAGCTCTTTGTTCTTTATTACCTATTTATTGAACTAAAAGGTTGCCACTTGTTTCTTCGGGTTTGAAGTTCATGGGGAAAAGTCAGTAGTGTGAACAAAAAAACACAGACAAAAAAGCAAGCAATGTTGCCATCAATTATAATGTTGTTCTTAATCACGTTTAGAATAATATTCTTAGTGCAATTACATATACTAAAAGCATGTTTAATAATTAAACATGTTTTAAACATGTTTCTTGCTGACAGCAAGGAGAGTGTGCATAATGATTGCAAGTGCCAGCTGAACAATGCTTGCCGTGAATGTATGAAAAATCAAACGGTACCACCACAGGCACTCCTTCTAATTATCTACACCACACTGCATCCAACCCTACATGAAAATGGCCCTGGATGGCAGTAAAGAACTTTCATGGCAACGGAAACGTCGATGAGGAGGTAATTATTTTGACTGCAGCTTGAAGGACGGGGAAGATAGCTTATATCAGTATAAAATGCATGCACGTGACGCTAGGCTAAAATAAAGTCTATCACTGGTCCCACGCCCCCCCCCACCCATTTATGACATGCAGATTTTATTTATTTATATCTGATCATCCAAGAGCGCATTTAACGCCAATTACCGAATGATAATGAGTGAAGAAGAGATTGAAGAAATGATCAGTTTTAGAGGTGGGAGGAAAACCCCGGATAAACGTTTAGGAGAAAACCCACGGACTCAGGTGGGGACGAAACCCAATCTACATGTGGACCGAGCGGGATTCGAACCCAGTCCCCCAGAGGTGGAAGGCGAGGAAAGAAACACTGTACCCACCTGACTTGTTTGAATTATGGAAAAAAAGTGCATGTTTTAAGCCTCACTGCTTTAGTCTGGTTGACCGGGGGGGGTTTAGGATAAAGTGAGCGTTACCAAGAAGTTACAGCGGAGAGGCCGTTTTTCAAGTTTACTGCCGCTTCGTCGTGATTTGGACCGAAAGACCACTTTGGGGAACTGCGACATTCCATGCAATAGAAAAAAGAAAGGATTAATTGAAATTGCTACTTGATAAACATCTACGAATCTTAAATCATACAAAACAAAAGCCACATGCGTTCCATCCTTTTACGAGCAATGGCTTTCTTAGTAACAATCCAGTATCTCGTAACGTCTTTATTGCACCATGGTAATTATTTGTAACTATTGTTCTGCTTTCAGAATCACACTACTGTGATCCTACTGAGTTTAATCAACCAACTAAGCTTTCTTCTTTTCATGCTGTTAAAGGGTCAAAGCAATAAAGATTTATTAATTTATTTCTTCGTACTGTCACTCCTCTTCGAACAAAAAAAAACACAAAAAAACAAAATTCAAAGTTTTTCTTTCGTGAGAAATTCAGTTTAATACTGCATTTTCAGAAAACTTCATTCGGAGAAAACAGAGAAAAAGAGGGAACCCTTGCCCGTGTTTGTAATGGATAAACCCTTGTGCTTGCCGTACAATGGCTACATACATCCCAGTGTAATTGGGACATGATAAATATTATTGTCCTAGGGACTGGTTTTAAACGGTTTTATTTTCTAGCAGGCAATTTTCACAATCCATCTTTGAAATTACAGAATGTGTTCCAAACGTACACAAACACATGTCAATTAGGACAGGGACACAACTGTAGACCCCATATCTATAAAATGTACCTCCCCCCATGTCTATCTTCACGTTTCCCTTGTCATTATGCTGCAGTGGGTGGTTCAAGAAGTAAATGAAAAGTTTTGTATAAACCAAAATGAAAGCACCCGAGTGGAAAAATTTGCTGGACCAAAACGGCGCAATATTACGAGCAACGGAGGCCCGTTTGGTTGTAACTGAGCATCGCTGGTTCACGAACGACTATGAAGCACAAACGTTGCATGGTCGCATCACTACCAGCAAGATGAATGGACTGGTCCCCTTCCCTATAGCTGGCTGGCGTCTGGGGTCTGTCGGGGGGTTTAGCTCGCAATTGCCTTTTCTATTTTTAGAGATGATGCGTTTAATACATCCAACCTTTCGTGCGCATGACAGCCTAAAGGCACCTTTCCATATGCGCGTCAACACTTGCGCCAAGTGTTGCGTATCGGTCAAATCGCTCTCGGAACAATTTTGACGGCCGAACGCATACGTTTTATGTTAATGGACTCGATTTGTCTGTGGAAGTGAAACGCATAAACCTGAACGCAACGCACCCAAAAACGTACATATGGAAAGGCGCCATAACAAGTGACTCTCTGGAAAACATCAGAATTTTTTTTCTCTATGATTGTTATGGAAGTGGTTTACCCCTAAAAAGCAGGTAAATACGTCTAAAAGTTTCGTTGCGCAAGAGAGTATTAATCCATTATAGAAAGTCTTCCAAAGTTTTGTCCCGTGACAGTGTTGCATTGTGGGAATATTACACACATGAAATCCTGCAGAATTCCTCCGGAATCATTACCACCTACCGGTCCCTTCTGTAAGACGTCCGGGGACTAGGTAGGAACCAGTCTACAAGATGAACATACCTGACTAGCATTGCTCTTTTCTGAAGATAAGGAGTGCTTTTCAGTTTAGGGCGGATTGGAATGCCGAAAATTACGGTAGATCCAGGGGGGGTTACAAAAACGCTGTGACGGTTTCTAAAATTCAATCAGAGTGAAGATTTTAACTATCTGAAATGGTGGTTGTTTTGTATGGATAGAGCCATTAAGTTCAGGAAATTGTTTCTGGGCTTATGCTTAATTGTGACAGGTGCAAAAGTGCACCGGGGACGCTGCTTACTTGTGTTGCCACGCCCCCCATGGGTCTGGATCCGGCCTTGCAAACAAGTAGGCCTGTGTTAAAAGCCCCCCCCCTCGCCATCACAGCTTTACCGGCAGGAAAACAGTCTACATGTATACAAATGTGCAGCATGGGCATTACATGTACTGTCTAAAATGGCTTCTTGACTTCATGAGAAGGACCCAGTTGGTTTCAGCATGGGAGCATCGAGGCATAAACGCTGCCATAGTAACCCAAAATGGCGTTATAACAAGATGAGCCGGTTCAGGACTTTGTGGTTCAGATCATAATTGTTGCAACAAATCAATAATTAAGTGGGCCGCCTCTAGAGACTTAACGTGAACTGAACAGTTCACACGAAGGCTTCATGAAAAGCTCATCCCACAGTACCAGTCATGTACCAGTGTGATGCAAGGCAGCTCCGCACCATTCACCGTCTTTAAAATGACCGACAGAAGTCCCTTTCGATGTTCTTGGCAAGCAAAACACGACTTCATTCTGTTCCTGGTTTTTCACTCCTGCTGCTTTCAAACTGTTCATGGTGGGCTACAAGGTAGGCTAACGATAGTATTTAATCCTTCCTATATTAACATATTTAATCATATGTAATCATGCGATCTTTTATTGTGCATGTACTATGCGTTCAATAGTTATACCGTGGATGTTATAAACAAAAACTCTGTGAATTGACATTCTCCTAGACGGAGTCAATTAATAAAAATGCAACCACCACAAAACGAGACCCCTTGTGGGATTGCTTCGGCTGAATGGAAAGTGGCATTCAATTGGACTTTTTGACGGACTGGAAACTATAAAAAATGGAGGACATTGAATTCGTGCTTAAACCATTTGTTGTGTTCGTTTAATTGTGCCGATATAGAAGCAATTTAACGAGTCCTTAAAATGTTTTATTCGAACCAACCAAATTTAACATTTTAAGAAACTTAAATTTCAGAATTACTTAGCCACTCAGTCAGGAATGTACCTTGTTGAAGCATATCCAATATTAAATCCAATAATTATTAAAGTCTTAATGATAAACGATATTTAACCACCATCCATCCCATCAGGGCCAGAAAATACATCACTATAGAGTTAAATACAAATTAAAAATTGAATAAAAGCCACAAACATTAACATCAATTTAAAACTATAGGCCTATTCTACAGCCACGAAAAGCTCCATAAACGTCGCTAGTAATATGGGTATAAGATCACAAGCACATGAGAGTGCGCTGTTATGAACAACCCTCTCTACCGCCACATTCGAGGAAGTCTCTTTTTTTGGGGGGGGACGATATAAAATGTATTTCCGAGCTTGGTATTTTTCTGGCTACACTTGTCTTGTGCACAGCACCCTAACACCTATTTCGTGGGCAAGACTTTGTTAATGGCGCGCCTCACTTATATTTGAAAAGTTAATTCTTATTTCGGATTCGTATTAATCTGCATGTATGTTTTTGGTGGTAAATTTAATTTTAAATTTGTACTTTACCTTTGTGACTTTCAGTTTTAGTTTGAAATGTATTTACAGTTTTAGTGTTTTTTTCCCGCCTCCGCCCCCATTAGGGACTTTTCTGTGCGAAAACGTGCAATGCCAGCGAAGTTTCCCTGTTGCTTATCGACCTGATGTGCGTCCTGTGGGGCACCTAACTTGATGATAAAGTTTGGTGCGGCATTAACAACTGCGGTATTTCGAGGTTTAAATTCGAAAATGTACGGAGAAAATGAGAGCAAAATTATTTATTTCTTCGAATTAAGCATAACAGTTCTCAGAATTGCTGTCCAAAAGGCACTGAGCTAAATTCTTGTGTCTCTCTCTTTCATCCTATAAAAAGCTTTTTCGATCATCGGCAAGTCGGCATCACAAAGTACGAGTCACCCTTCATTCCCAGCAGGAAATGCTATCGACAACAACGTCAACTCGTTTTCACATACCGGTAAGGCCATGGCAACGTAACACATCACCGTTCAAAAATTATCGATGGACCTAACTGTTAAATTTATATCGGTTAAGAACCCATCACATGCGCAACAGACGATGAAAATACACTCTAAATCGGTGTTTTGTTATTAAAAACAATCTTGCTATCACTTATAAACCTGTCTGGATGCCAGGAATTTTCGATATCCAATTCATAAACTTTGCGCAGAGTGCATCCCGTCCATTGTGGATGGGGGTTTCGGCTAATTTCTTGCTTGAAAACGTCAGGGCTTATGCCCTGAACGGGGAAAAAATTGAGCAAAGTCCCATTTAACCGTGTACAAACATCTCTCCCGTATGCCTTAATGGGATTGTTTACATCTGTCACCACTTTGTTTACATTCAGGCTTGTTAGAAGGAATTAATCTCGGACTTTCGTGCTTGTGGTGACCCTTGATTCGTTTCAAATCCTCAACAACTAAAAAGTAGGATCTAAGCACATCTGTCTCTTATGCTTCTAAATTGGTACGAATTATTTACATATCTGCAACACTTACTTATACACAAAATAGCCGTTGAGTTCAATTTGATCTTAAATACATTTTTAAAATGATGAACAATTTATCAATAATGTAACTTTGCCTTGCAATCAGTCTCCAGGCAACGTACGGCAGCCTCAGACAGAGCTGTCTGTTCTCTGTTCTTAGGAAGCCCTCTCTGTCGGTAGTGTTACTGGTGGGTCTTTGTCCCTTCAGGTCACTGCCTACGCCCAAATTGTCAGCTTGATTGCGGCGTTATAAGGGTCATCTGAATAGCATGTCGTCACAATAAAAATAATGTAATCACAATTTCCAATTTGTGACTTAAAGTTCAACAGTCTTAGGCAGAACTTAATCTTTCGCTCCACTAAACCTTGCTGTGAAATTCTGTGAACCCTATGACATTTCTTCGAGACTAAGTCACTCTGCACGCATTTCTACAAATCAATTATTCTATCATAAAGCAAAGAGAAATTTGCCTTATCTTTTCAACTAAGTCTCATCACTAAATTTACTCTACTTCACTTCTTTTGGTAAATTTCATAAATAAACTTACGGTTTTTTGGACTTCGTTTTAAGCTTGACGAACGCGGTCCCAGGTTGGGCGCTGCTATACTGGGACCGGTAGGGATACTAAAAAAGGCTGATGAATTTCGGCACTGTTCAATTTTCCAAGCTGGTAAAGTCGACCATCAGTAGACGGAAGAATCAGCAAAACCCTGGCTATCGTCGGTTTCCACCACAACCTAACTATTAATTTTCTCCCTTAATTCTTTCTCGGACTGTTCCTGTCTCCATCTCGATTGTGCATGCCCAATTTTCTTACCCGCAGCTACAAAAAAACAACCGTTTTTTTGCGTCCATCACCGTGGCCCAAACAATACATATGTTATATAATTCGACCCCGATTTAAAATACTGTGCGACGCAATGCGTAAAATAGAAGTGTGCGCGTTTTTGCAGGTTATTGGATAAAACTTGTGTACATATACGTCACACGAAATACGCCCTACGTCCTTCTTTTAGTGATATTGAATGCCTTTCTTAAGTCGTTGGAAGTCTAACAAATTCTTCACAATCCGCTTTACATTTTTGCTCAGCAGAAAAAAAGTAGGGGGATGATTCAATAGCCCATCCTCACGCCTCAAAAAGTGGAGAGGGATAAATACCCCCATCCCCGAGGGATTTACGCCAGTGATCGGGTCTTTACCTTGTATGAAAATATTGCACAAAAACGTCGAGCCCAAGCCCAATATTGTTATACATGCATAGACCGTTTTCAATATTTTTCCAAGGCACCCAGTTATTACTGATATTGGGTCTGTGATCTAATCCAAGCCAAATTAATTTGGAATAAACTGTTTAAATAATTTTAAAGGGAAGGAAAATTTGGGAAATCATTAAGTTAACGTCGCCGGAAAAAAAGTCTAACAAACTAACGAGTCCCTTTGTTAATTTGCGGTGGCACCTTTTTCAATATCATCCCAAGAAATAAATTCCTTGTCCCCAGAATCCAACAGTACAGTCTTTTTAGCATCCCTTCATTATTTCACACCATCCGTCATCACTTTCCGATGTTCCGATAAATAGACATCGATTTCTGCTTCCACATCACTGCGTATATATATATAGTCGACGGAGGCGACCTTCATCCTTGGTGGCGAGTGGACCTCGGTGCTGAACACTGCTTGGGGGAACTCACCGTCATAACTCGACAAGGATGCTGTGGTAAGATCGTGTGATCGAATCGATAACATACGGTTTGACATGCTCAGGGAAGTCGCGCTTCCTTCATCTACTCCGTTTTGGTTTTTAGCTTTTAAATTATTTGTTGGTCCCAAAATTCCTCTAAAAAAGTCCTTTGTTTATGCTAAAAAACATTCTAGTGACATACTCGTCCCATGTAATTTGAACGGAGTATGGCGAGCGTTTTTCCGGAGTTTGTCGTTTCCCTATGAATCCTTTATTGCACATATCATGGCATTTTGATTTAGGTAGGCGGCCAAATAGTACATTATTTTGTGCAGATTCTGTAATGAATTCTTGATCTGCAAATCATGTCAACATTTCCTTCCAACAGTGTAATGGTTTTCATTTCTTTAAAGTAAAAAAAATGGTTTATTGATGTATATGCTTCGTTTAAATATTTTGGTGACTTGTCATTGTCCTATTGTATCTTCCCAGTTCCCACACACGAATATACATTAGTTTGTTTTTCCATCGAATTTACTTTTTTGACCATGTTTTTATTGATGCACTTTCTTGCTATATTGTAATATGGCCTTTCTAGTGTCCTGATTTGAATAATGAAAACGTCTGCCCTGGTGGAGACCTGAACCGGTTAGCCATGCCGACAGCTTGATCTCGTAACAAACTGAACGGCCTTTTCTGGCAGCATGATAGTCTCGCTCTTTCAACTATCATCAAGTACCTCTAAAAAAAAAAGCACATGACTACTGACAGATTGCTCAAGTCACTTGTACTCCCAAGCACCCATTTTTTCTGTAAGAAATCAGACGAACATTGATTGTAAAGAAAATCAAACCAAATAGGCACAAGTTCAAATCAGCATCTCCCCTATTAAAACTCTGCAGTAGCGTGTACTCATGCTAGAATGGTAGGAAGTGGTGACCTATAGTAAAACACGACGCCACACTTTTAAAATACTCCCCGCACTCCCAGTCTCAACAAGTCAGTGTTGTCCTTTTCCATTTAAACATCGCTTCTTAAATTGTTTCTAAAGGCCAACGTCGCTTTGCCGCTGCGGTGGCTAGAGCGGGGCCCAGTCCAAACTACGCCGAGAACCAACCGTGCGGCTTGCCAGTCCCAAGAGCCCAAGCCACAGACGGAGCCAGGATTACCTTCCCATGTGCACCGGCTCGGATGGCTCGATACGTCACCTTGGACATAAACTCGACCAGCTCTGATGTGACAAAAGCACTTCTGCAGTTAGCTGAAGTGACGGTGAAAGTATACACAGCAGGAGAATGTGATGCAGTTGACGGTAAAGTATCCTATCGCGTCGTCCTTGTACTAGACAAATTATTAATGTCAGCCTGAGAAATGGGTTCACGGGTACACCATGGAATCAATCTCCATAGGATCCCCTATATCCCGACGGCAAATACCAACCACATCCCTCCAAGCCCACCTCCACAGCCAGAGTGATTTCCAACGACACACCGTCGTGAACCTCAGCCAACGCACCCTGTCGACCACTGAGACAGATGTCCTGTCCCTAGGCACGAACTTCGCCACCCCACCACGCGCCGTCCCCCTAGCTGACATCATCCAAGCCACAGAACCTGCCATACGGAAGCTTGATAAGACCACAGCCGATAACATCCGAGTCAAGATCCACCAGGCACTCCTACACGCCAAACCGGTCAAGCCAAACCTCACCAGACCCAAAGTTGAAGCCCTCCGTGATCTCCGCAGAGACAAGTCCATCAACATCATCACGACCGACAAGGGCAACGCCACCGTGGTCATGGACCATGTGGCTTACTCCATCAAAGTACAAGACATCCTCACATCCGGCACCTACCGCCCCCTACACAAGGACCCCACTCAAGCCATAGAGAAACGCATCGCCAGCCACCTCCCAGCCCTCCATCGCTCCGACTCCATCCCAGAAGACCTGTGCCGTCGCCCCCGCCCGTCGGCGTCTACCTGTCTAAGATTCTTTGGTCAACCCAAGATCCAGAAGCCGGACATTCCCCTGCGCTCCATTGTGTCTTCAAGGAGCTCACCGACGTACGAGACCGCCCGCTTCCTGACCGGCATCCTCCAGCCCCTGGTAGGCACCACACCACACCATATCTTCAACTCCACCCAGTTCGTGAAGCTCACGAGAAACCTTTCACTTCAGCCAACAGACATCATGGTGAGCTTCGACGTGGTGTCGCTGTTCACCAATGTTCCCACCGAAGAAGCATGCCAGATTGCCAAGGATTGACAGGACAGCGACCTCCCCTCGCTGACTGCACAGCCCTCTCCTCCGCCCACATTGCCGACCTCATCCGCCTCTGCGTTTCTTCCAGCTACTTCAAGTTCCAAGATTAGTTCTACGAGCAGACAGCTGGGACCTCCATGGGATCCCCTATATCCCCGGTCCTAGCTAACATCTTCATGGAAGAATTTGAAAACATCATCTCTCCTCACCGCCGACCTCAAACCCACCATGTTGACGACACATTCGACATATGGCCCCATGGTCAAGATCACCTCCAAGAATTCCTCAACAAGCAACACCCCACAATCAAGTGCACCATGGAACAAGAACAAGACGGAAACCTCTACTTTTTAGATGTTCACCTGTCCAGAACCGCACCCTGGTCCGCAGAGCATACGAGATCGGCGACCAGAACAACCTACGCCATGAACTCCACCACATAAAGATGAATGGCTACCGCAACCAACGTATCAACCTTTCCAAGCCCTCCCCCAGGACGTTAGGGTCACCTATACCCGAAGCCCCCCAAACCGCCACGGTATGTCTACCGTGCCCCACCTCCCACCAACTCCGGAGCATCCTGCAGACGGCCAATATCAAAGTACATCATTCAGCACCCAACAAGCTGCGAGCTGCACTTCACACCCATGAGGACAAGCACACACCCAGTAGTTGCCCCAGTGTATATCGTATTCCATATGAATGCGGCCAAGTATACATCGGGGAAACCGAAAGGAATCTCCCCACCAGACTCCAAGAACACCGCTCGCACGGCCGATGAGGAAAATACAACAAGTCGGCCATCATCAAACATGCACACTCCACGGACCACAGCATCAAATGGGACAAAGCAGAACCCATCGCCCCCATCCAGAACTGGCTCCGAAGGAGAATCCCAGAAACCATCGAGATTTTCAGCCGACAACACCGTACCCCAAGACATCTGTTTCAAGCTCAACGAGATCTGGCGCACTCTACAAGCACCCAAGCAGACACCTACTCTCGGTCAGTAGGGTCCCCTATACCCGAAACCCATCCCCTCTCACCCCAGGCGTTAGGGTTTCTCTACCCGAAGCCTCCCCCTTCCCTCCCCCCGGCATAGGGTCCCCTATACCCAAACCCAAGGTTTCCCGCCAATTCCAGGATCCAACACCTTCATGCAACAGCGCACACACTGAGTCACACAACCCGCGAATCTCGTTCCACGCTCCATCGCTTCCGGATTACCTTAACTTCATAACCAGCTATCCACTCCAGTCCGGCACACTCTCCTCAGTGAGGACAGCCAGAGCACATTTACCGAAACGTCGAGATAACGCTCACCCGTTCTTTTAAGAACCACGTCACCTCGCCCAAAAGAGATTGATTCCATGGTGTACCCGCAAACCCCATTTCTCATGTTTCTTCCACCATGAAGAGCTTCAAATCTTACTTAATATCAGCCTGCTATTCGGTTGGTAAACCAGGCCGTGCTCTAATGACATGTACTTGCCTGCTCCTTTAAAACTACTCATGACGCTAGAGTTAGTGGTTGTAGTCACTATCATAAATACGCGATGGAGGCACTGGTTCGGTTCAGACAAAAAACCTTGTCCAAAGCTTAAAAATGGAAAAGTACAAAACTGTTCATCAAAATAATGTTTGCATACTAAGATACAATAACAGTAAGCCTTGTGTCGGAAGACTCAAATTCTGTTAAAATACACTTGAGGGTTACATAAGTTCCATTATTCCCATACTGAATTCATAAATCTACCGATTTACTGCAAGTCTATGTGTGTATTTTTTCCCTGAAACCGCGTTTTCTTTCCCGGAAGATAATATCACGTACAGGAAAAAAACATTCATGATGTTATTCAGGTGCACGCAGAATTTAGAATGTCAACTGTAGTCGAGAATTTAAAAAAGTTTTCACGTGTTGATCACTGTGGTGAACCACTGAAAATGGGAATGGTGCAAAGGCGCTGGGTTAATTTCCTTAAGGGGAATGCCTGTTGCTGTAGGTCGGTGACATCTAAGGGCGACGTTCCCATTACACCTGTTAACAAGTCGTTAGATAGTTGTGTTGGAAATTAAATGGACACTTAAACCTATGTTTTCTAAGTAAAATGCTTTTCAATTTTCTTAGCAACATTATACTTGTCAGGACATATCTCTTTCTGACGGCTGTTTGAAGGGAAAACTAGTGTTGTTGGCACTCTTGTCTACGAACGTCAGTCGAAATCTATTGGTCTGGCTCTTAGTCCAAGATTAGTAATTATTGACGGGGTTCCAACGTAATGGTCGGTCATCCTCATGTAAAGGCTAAAATACATTAACAGCGTGTAGATTAGAGCAAGTAAAAAAAAATCAACGATATGAGTCCGAGCTGGACCAAGAGAGGGCGCAATTTCCACTCTGCAATGTCCAGCACTTCGCTGGTTCACAGACGAATATGAATTGTACGCGTTACGGTCGCTTCGCTACCAACAAATTGAGTACCCCCAACACGACTCTTTTAAACAGATGGGAACGCTTCTGCCCAAGGTGGATTGCGCTGGGAGAACAATTTTTATTAACCAGTCACCGACTTGGCACCAAGTCTAATTTCCCATTAATTTCTCTATAAACGTCGACGGCCTTAAACACCAAAAACAAAAACCTAACCCGATCAAACTGTACAAAGACTCTTGCATTACCGGAACCTATCTAACTTTCCCAGAAGAATGAAACAATAACGTTACTCTTGACATACAGTATATTAAAGTGCATTCGCCCTACATCGATCTACAACGAGCAATTACTCAGTAACACAATCAAGGCTCTTGCATCACTGTATTAAAAAAGAGTGAAAATTCACCCTACTCGAGTAAAATTTACTCCCTCTAACTGAAACTAGGAACAAGTAAGTGAAGTTTACTCACTTGATCCAGTTTTCACCAGAGCAAGTCTTTTGAATCTTATCTTTGAGAGATTTTCACGCTGAAGCGTTCAGTCCCTAGTTTCAACCTTTCGATATCTACCAATCCACTAACGGCGTTGCAAAATTATTAACCTTCTTTTTTAGTTGCTACTTCGACTCCAAAGGCCAGGACCCCCAATTTCAACAAAATTCACAAGGATGGCTTGATTGCAAACTCCCGTCCCCTGTCCGTAAAGGTGGCCAAGTCTGTGTTAAGGTGTGCCGGATACTGCGCCAAAGATATCCGCTGTTTCTCTTTCGACTTTGCACAAGGAGACGGTCAGTGTCGACTTTACAACCTCAACACAACCGACATAGAGATGACTCCCAGTCGGTATTTCTCAGTCTATGTGTTAATGTAGATATTTAATGCTCCATTCGCTATGTAGTATCATAGCTGCTGAAATAATAACGCTTATAGATTGTTTGCTGTATTTCCTTTATTAGGATGAAATATTGGACCTATACGTAATTCCTTAATTAGGATGAAATATTTGACCTATACGATTGAGCAGCTTATCTTGACACGTTGCAGTTTAACAAAATACAGGCACATAAGTTAACAGCGGTGTAACAATGCTGAGATTTGAATAGGTGGGATACAGTTTAGTAGTGTTGTATAAAAAGAATAATGTTGACAACACGTACTAACTTTTGAGAAAAAAAAACTTTTATTCTAAACTATTCTACAACTTGTAAAAGAAAGAGTGGGATTACTGCGCATAGAGGTGTTGCTTGGAGAGTGGTTGTGATGAGAATGGCTAAAAATGACCAAGTGGTAAAAAATGGTTGGGTACACAGGCCTGAAGAACAAGGGTAAATCTAATTATAAAAGTTATAAATCCTAGATAAGAAGTCTGCCAGTGGCATGTGGTAAGAAGGGCAAAGCAATAAAAGTGGGTCCTTGTGTAGGAGTGCTCTTAAATCAATTAGTGGGTTTGACATTACAGAGTCAGGCTTGACATTACAGAGTCAGGCTTGACATTACAGGGTCAGGCTTGACATTACAGAGTCAGGCTTGACATTACAGGGTCAGGCTTGACATTACAGAGTCAGGCTTGACATTACAGGGTCAGGCTTGACATTACAGTGTCAAAAGTTAAAGGCTCCTAATACTGCTGGGAAAAATGTACACGGGATCTAAATGCAACAGGGGGGGCGCTACAACAGGATGCACCTTTAAGTTTCCAGAAAGGTGTAGTTGTCAATGAGTCAAACACCAGATGTTCATCAAGGCCAGTTGACCCATTAATAAAACTTGGCTAGTTACTTGGAATGTGTGGGCGGAGGCCAGTGCACCCACAACTTTCCGTTTTTCATGGAATAATATTTCTTTGAAATAAAGGGGTGAAACTTTTATAAGAAATTGATATTAGTCATGGGTTTACATCATTTGGCTTTATTCTGATTGGTCAATGGATTTACGTATGACTTATATTCAGTAATTATGTTGATATAGTAGATTTGTAGAGTATAAAAACCCCGAAAGTGTGTTGAGAAATCGAGTTGGAACTGCGAGCAGATAAAAGTCAGATAAGACCATATTTTTCGATGCTTAAAGCCTATGAAGTGTTTTCGTGTTGAGAAAATACTTGTTTGTGAAAAGAGTCGAAGCCGAAAGGAGTTGTGTACAACCAGCAAGCATTTATTCGCTCGAGTCAGTCTGACAAGCATGGTCCAACAAAGGTCAAGCTATGTGTACTTAACATGCGTACAAATGCAATTAACAAAAAGTAAATTAACAAAACCAGTTTAGTGACCGTCACACTATGTAATGTAATTTTTCTCAATTTGCTTTAGTTAGATATCATCTTTCTGTAATGCTAGCAACAAGGTTGAATCAATAATGACACGTTTGTGCCGACCCCGCCCACTCAAGATAAGCAATTCTACCTCTCCTCCCCGGGGCTGGGCCATCCAAGTTGCTGAAAAAAAACCAACCCGACAATTGCCGTCCATCCCTAACATCCCCCCAGCCTCAATCCTAAGCCAAGTGCAAAGGTAGCCTCACCGGGAAGGGAGGAGGGCCATCGACTGACTCAAGTGAAGCTAGGCTGAGAATGAAACGGTTGCAATCGAGGTATATAATTGAGCACGCGTTTCGCCGCCCCCGATTCCGGTAATATAATACGTTGTATATATACTTCCGATCACACAGCCGTCGCCGCTCCCCAGAGTTTGATATCAGAGATTTACCTGTGACCTTCCACGAAGTTGTTTGCACTTGGGGGTGAAAACTACCTTTGTGAAGTATTTTGCTGTGGTGGAATACTTGTTAGCAAACGGGTGGATTTTCCTCACCAGCTCCCTGTTTGACTGTGAGAAGCTTTGCATGAGACGAAGTTTTGAAAATAAAAGAGACTCGTGTTCCTGACGAACTTCTGTTTGTCAACAAACACTTCTTCCAAGTCTGCATTGTCCGTGCACCTGGGCCAGGACGATTGCTTCGAGTTCTGTTACTGAGTCTCCCTCCACAGCACATAAGCCTAAACCTCCCACCGGTTCCCCTCCGATGGTACCCAGTACAACGGCCATGGACCTTCTTGTAGCATCATCGTATGGAAATTCCCAAGCCGACTATGCCGAGATTTTCTGACGGAAGAGAGAAGGAGTTTGCCTTACTTCGCATGGCCCTCGACAACCTCATCAACATCCATCCACACCTCACCGAACAGTACTAGTTCCAGGTGATGCTGGACCGACTTGGTGGTAGAGCATTTAAACTTGCCAAGTCCTTCATGTATTCTAGTCAGCCCTGCGCTGAAGCCCTAACTGCTCTTACGGACATGTATGGGCAACCGCGACAGCTTGTCCAATGCGAGATCGCAGCCATGATGGCCACGCCTGCCATAAAGTATGGTGACACCGAAACATTCGAGGAGTTCTCCCTCGACGTCCTCTCCCTCTTGGCATGCTACAAGCCCTAGAGGGTCCCAACGGCATTGAACTTCGTTGCGGCTCACATGTTGACCGACTTCTCAGCAAGCTTGCCCCCAGCCACAGGACAAGTTTCATGGAGTACTGCTTGAAGGCGGGCATCTTGAAGTTCAACTCCAGTCAGACCTTCACTCTACCGCAGTTTGCAAGCTGGCTCCGGAAAAAAGCCCAGTCACACAGCTTCGCCAGTAGAGCAGTGTCTGGGTGTAGCACCGGTAACCTGAAACCCCAACGACACCAGGAGCGAACATGTAAGAAAGATGCCCCAACAGCAGTACTCATGACAGCACCAAAGCCGAAAAACAAACCCCAGCCTTATTGTCCCTATTGTGACAACAAGGAGCACTATCTGGGTGGATGTCAAGAGCTCAAGAAGCTGAAGGCTGATCAGATCGTCAGTTGGATCCAGGAAGGGGGACGATGTTGGAAGTGTGGTCGTCCCATAAGCCAGACAAGTGCACTCTCACGAAGTCATGCCACACATGCAAGGAAGCACACTTAACTGAACTTCATGATGCCGCTCAGAAGACTCCCAGTCGTGTCTTCAGAGTGCAGATATCAAGCTAGACTGACTATGTTGACAGGCCAGTCCGTCCTAACGGTGTAATGCTCACAGTCGTGCCAGTTCTCCTTCATGGCCCTACTGCCACCATCGAAACATATGCCATCCTTGATGATGGCTCTGAGAGAGGTATGCTTCTGCAACCAACAACCAAGAACCTACAGCTCAAAGGCCAGCCAGAGACAGTCTTCCTTTGGACCGTCCGTGATGATGTCGTCGAATGCCAAGGTTTGACCACATCTCTTCACGTGTCACCAAAGGGGAAGCCCAACATCAAATACGCCATCACTGGAGCCTTCTCCAACAGCAATCTGTGCCTCTCAGAATACACATGCCCAGTAAGGGCTCTCCAGCAGCGGTGTAGTCACCTCCGTCACCTGCCGCTACCGGTTAATCAGGCATCAACGATGTTGCTTCTTGGAGCAGACCATACAGATCTTATCATCTCAAGATGCCCCATAAGATCTGGATCCCGTGGTGCACCAGTAGCCATTTACACAAGGCTTGGTTGGACACTCCAAGGGCAACTTGGAATCACGATAAACAGCTGGAACAAAGAGTCTTCAAGACATCCACATTTCCGGTGACGAACGACCTTCTGCAGCATGTGCAGATGCGGCAGCAGGCTGATGTCCTCCCTTTCGAAAATTAGAAGGAAGTCACCTGATCCAAACATGATCAGTTTGCTCTCCAGCTGTGTCAAAAACCACCCGTGTCAGCATTGATGGCGTGCAACGTTATGCCACACCCCTTCTGAGAACCCCAGATGGAGACAAGTTCCAGGCGACTAAAGACGGAGTTCTCCCAACACTTAAGAGAGCCGAGAAGAGACTTCAGAAACACCCACAGCTGGCAGAGAAACACAGTGAACTCATCACAAAACTGGTAGACGCTGGTCATGTGAGAATTTTGCCACATGATGAGGCTGCGAGGACTGATGAATCCTGGTTCATTCCCCATCAAACTGTTCACCATAATGGGAAGTACCGACTGGTCTTCAATTGTTCTTTCCAGTATAACAACCGAGTGCTCAACGAGCATCTCCTTCCTGAACCACAACCCGGTGCATCCCTCACTGGTGTGCTGCTGCGATTCCGACAGCATACCATAGCCATCTCCGGAGACATCAAAGCGATGTTCCATCAGGTGCAACTTCTGCCACAAGACAGGCCTCTCTTTCGCTTTCTGTGGCGAAACCTGGAGGTCGAGGCCGAGCCACAGATATATGAATGACAAGTCCTTCCATTTGGGGCAACGTGTAGCCCATGCTGCACCACCTTTGCACTCAGAAAGAAGGCCAGAGACCAGAAAGATCACCATCCTGAAGTGGCAACATCAGTTGACAAGTCCTTCTATGTTGACAACTGCTTGGACAGCCTATCCTCATCCGGAAAGGCCAAACAACTAGTCCTTCAAATGCGCAATGTACTTGCTTATGCTGGCTGCGAAATACGCCAGTAGGCTAGTAACGACCCTTCAGTAGTAGAAGATCTACCACCAGATGCTCGTTCCAATGGCTGCGAGCTGTGGTTAACGTATGGTGACACTGACTCCCTTGAGGCCACCCTTGGGCTCCAGTGGGATTGCAGCATGGATAAACTGCAGTACCGCCACAGGATAGTTGATTACGAGTCCCTCAATATGAGGAGCATGTATAAAACACTTGGAAGCCAGTATAATCCCATCGGTTACCTCACCCCATTCACTGCCCGAGCCAGAGTGATTGCCAAGACTTGTGGAAAACCAAGCGTAACTGGGATGATGCTTTGAAGCCTGGTGCCATAAGAGATCAGTGGCGAGCCTGGAAAATGGAGCTCCCAACACTGGCCAGCATCAAGTTGGAAAGATGCTTCACACTTCCCACCATGGATGTCGAAGGTTGAACCCGCCAACTCCACATCTTCTGCGATGCATCGGAAAGAGTTTATGGTGCTGTCGCCTACCTGCGAACAGAAGATAAACACCACTGCATCCATGTTACCTTTGTCATGGCCAGGTCGAGAGTTGCCCGTAAACGGCAGCTATCAATGCCACGCTTGGAGCTGCCTCCATCATTGGCTGGTGCCCAGCTGTGTCAGCTACTCCGAAGGGAGCTCAGTCTACCTGTCAGGGATGCCTTCCTTTGGAGCGACTCAACGACTGTGCTTGCTTGGCTGAAATCCGAATCTTGCCGCTACAAGGTCTTCGTTGGCATCCGAGTGGCAGAGATTCAGGCCCTCACTGACGTCAAACAGTGGCACTATGTAGATACCAAGAGCAACACAGCTGATGATCTCACCAGAGGCAAGACCCTGACGGAGCTTGCCCAAGAATGCAGGTGGCGAAAAGGGCCCTCATTCCTCATATTATCTCCTGACCAGTGGCCTGTCAACCCGTCCACACAACCAGAAGACGTCTCCGAGTATAATAAATCAACCTTCTCTGGTGCTGTAGCTGTGGAACCATCGAGCCCTCCTCACCTCTCCAAGTTTAACACGTGGGAAGACCTCATCATGGCTACTAAGGAGCGTCGAGATGGGGCGGCCGACGAAACTGAACCACCGGAGTTTAGTGCTAAAGAGCGAGGCAGCATCGAACAGCAGCTTTACTACCGTGCTCAGCAAGGTAGTTCCCCTAATGACTTGGCCGCCCTGAAGGCTGGAAGATATCTTCCTCGAGATAGCAGGCTCCTCCAGTTAGCTCCAGAGTACAATGATTCTACTGGTCTCATCCATTTTGGAGGACGTCTCCGACATGCACAAGACATCCCAAAAGAGTCCCGTTATCCCATCGTCGTGGATCCAGCGCACCCCATTACTCGGCTTCTGATCGGAGAATATGACGAGAGACTACTTCACCAAGGACCTGAGCGTGTACTTGCAGAGATGAGGCGCAAAATTTGAGTTCTTTGAGGGCAAGAGGCCATTCGCAAACATCAGCGCAAATGCCTTGGATGCCAACAATGGCGAGCCAATCCAGATGTGCCAAGGATGGGAGATTTGCCACCATCACGCTTGCGACTGTACAAGCCGCCATTCTTTTCAACTGGCATTGACTGTTTTGGGCCCATGACAACTAAGACCGAGAGACGCACTAAGAAACGATGGGGTACCATCTTTCAATGCATGACTACCAAAGCAGTGCATCTAGATCTGCTAGAAGGTCTTAGTGCTGATGCCTTCCTGATGGCCATGAGACGGTTTGTATCAAGAAGAGGAAAGCCCATAGAGATCCTGTCTGACTGTGGCATCAACTTTAAGGGTGGTACTTCTGAGTTGGAGAAGGCATTTTCTGCCAAGGAACCAAGACTGAAAAATGAGCTGGCCAAACAGCAGGTGAAGTTTGTCTTTGGCGGAGTGTGGGAGCGAGAGATAAAGTCTGTCAAAGCTAGCCTGAGAGTCGTCCTCAATCATGCTGCTCCTGAACCAGTCTTGCGCGCCGTGCTGATAGAAATTGAGGGAATCCTGAACTCAAAGCCTTTGGGTTATGTTTCCTCTGACATCGCCGACCCAGACCCAGTTACTCCGAACCTCCTGCTGATGGGACGACATGACGCATCTTTGCCACAGGTTGTCTACGTGGCACGGGACTTACTCATCAGACGACACTGGAAGCACAGCCAGGTGTTTGCAGATCACTTTTGGTCAAGCTTCATCAGGCTGTACCAACCTTCTCTGCAGATACGGCAGAAATGGCATCGAGATGGCAGGGAGATGAAACCTGATGATGTCATGATCGTTGATCCTGCACTCAGCCGAGCTCACTGGCCCATTGGACGAGTCATCGACACCTTTCCCGGCCCAGATGGTCGTGTGCGCATAGCCAGTGTGAGCGTGAGGAAGAAGACCTTCATCCGCCCTGTTGCCTGCCTGATACGACTTCCAGCTGTTGGCAATGAAGACAACAAAGTTCCAACCCTATTTGGCTCTGAATGAGAACTGTAGTGCCTCCAATGCTTTCCAAGTTCATAAATTTGGTTCCCAAATTTAGGGGCGGCTGTCCGAAAGCGTCTCTCACACCTCAACGTGCAGTAGCGCCCTCTCGTGATTCACTCATTATAATTGCCCAATCATTCCATGTCGAATCACGCTGTTGCTGAAATTCCCCGAAATTCTTTCTGAACGTACACCTAATCGCCCTGTACCTTAATTATCCAGTTGCCAGGTTAATTATAAATACCCCTGTGCGTGGATGACATAAAGTGAGTACAATTTGGTTGATCTAAATATCATATTTGGGGGCATTTCTGGGGTTACAATCGTTGGATTTGGAGTGTAATGCATATTGTATGATGTTCATGTCACATCATACATGTGTATAATCACAAGCGCAGGGACATTTATTTTCATAAAACTTAATTGGGGTTTCTTTAGTAAATTTAGAGTCATCTAATTATTGTTTAGGAGTGTTCGTTGTGTTTGTGGCCCTTATTCAAGTTCATATATTTGCCGGGTCGAACTATGGGTATGATTGCACATAATTTATCATGTTTATGTTAATGTTCTGATAATATTAAGTGTCCAAGGTCTGTGCACGTATTTATTAGTTTTTTATGTTCATTCTGTTTGTAGACCCCAAGGTAAATAAACAAACAATCAGCCCATCATCAGTTTGGCCGTTGACTCCTTTTCAATTGTTGTAAACAAAGAAGAAACTGAAAGGTTAGTACAAAGATACTGCTTTATTTAAAGGTATGATGGCAATACACCTAGTAAGTAAAACACAATAAACAGGAAGTAGCATTCGTGGATGAGAGGAATATGCATTACGCGTTCAGTGGTTTTAAAAGATATCATATTTGAAAAATGAAAAATCGTCACGAAGCTTTTTACCGACATGCAGATATCGGACGGTTTTAATACCAGTTGTTAGTATCAAATGATAATATTTTTATTGTAATTATCAACGCAGATACAGTCGGAGCAGTTAATCCTTGCGCTTCACAAAAGCCTCCAAATGTCAACCCCCCCCCCTTAATTGAAGTCGTCCCCATTTGTGCTTCTGTAGAAAAAGTACTTTAGCCTGGGTTTGCAAGGATTTACTTGCGTGGATGAGTTTAAATGTTAAGAAATTGTTCAATGAAAGTTTTAAGTGTAAATTATCCCAAACTCGATCGACAATGCAGCAACTGAGAAAAACACGTGATAAAAATCAACTCGTCACAATGATTTCGCCTCTTCCTTCTTTGTGCCATTGGTTACAGGTATCGCTGGTCCCCGCGTGGTCACAGCATGCAACAGAGCGATGGTTGCCAGGGGTGACACCCAGTAGACCATAAGGTGCTCGCCTACGGGGTGATTGCGACAGTTGAAGGTCAAGGCAGCAGCTAAGGCGGGATTAAACATCATCCCTGTCCATTCTAGACCTATTGAGAGAGATGCATGTCAAAACAATTAGTAGCATAACTAGCTGCAATCAAACTAGGCCCCGTCGAACAGCATGGCGTAGTTTCTAAAGTGGCCTTCAATTTTCATTGCAAGTATATTATAAAAATCACGTTTCTGTTGTCACAGTTTTGAATATTCCATCTGCGTACGTGCTGGCTGAGTGTTGCCACCATATAGTACCAACAAGATTAGCACCCTCCTTTGAATGGTAACGCATGAGGCTTTCCTGTCTCAATGGTAACAATTAAAGTAAAGGCTGACGTAGCTGACATCTAGCAATGACTGTATTCGAATACCTTCAAAGGGGCAACCCTGACCCGGGGATGATGGCTGTGTGTGCTGTGTGTCAATAAAATGACGTAAGAAACGCAGACAGCAACGCAATCAAGACGTAGACATATGGAAACATGTCAAACAGAAGTATCTCCGATAACCTATATGCATGAATAACGCAAACCAACCCCAGACGGATCGGCAAAGTTTGAGACCGGTTAAACTTTGCCGACTGTCTGCGTTAAGTTGCTGGGTAGGCCTTTACAAACACACACGCTCGCATGATGGGCGTACAACGATGTTTCTCTCACTGTCCATTTTGTCGTTATTACTAGCATATGCAGTCCCAATCGTCAACAAAATAGCTGACCATTAACAAATTACATTAAGAGCCAACATTGCCACCTAAAAGAGTCACAATTTTTGCGAAAATTTCCGAGTTTCGGACACCATTTTGTTAAATTTTTTGGTGGACGCATAGCGTCTCTCCCGCCAATGCCTGCGTCTTGACGTCTTGCGGACCGTCTGCGTTACAAACTACCATATGGAAACCAGGCTTAACCAAGAATGTGGGGACGAGAATAAAAGCGAGTCAACTTGTTTAAGCTGTACGGTCGCATCCACGGAGCCTACTTTTTGCAATGCATTGTGTGCATAAGAAATTAACTTTATCTGTTCCTCTTGTCACCACACTGTCAGAAAAATGGGCGTAAGGCTTACGCCTCCTTGTTTTTCATTTAACAGTCTCCTTCGACAAAGACTGTCTTTTCACTGGGCATTTCCATGTAGGCCTATTCCAGTCCTCAAAAATATACTTGGGATTTTGCATGAACCGTAAGGAAACTTGCAACACCCACGAAATGCCATGACTTTTGCCAGTGGGAAGTTACAGTTTGATGGGAAATTTCGGGGAATCTCATTATAGTGGTAGTAAAATTAAGGTAAATACATAAACGTGCATACGAATTACCTAGAGCAATTATGACAACTTGGACGGTCGAGTCGAATGCAATGCTTCTCATTTTCCCCCGCGGCATCAGATGCCGTCTTGCCGCGAAGTACACCAGCGTGGCGAGGGCCTCGGCCACTATGCCGCCCTGCAGGGACGCCTGCAGCGCCGAGCTGCATTGCTCCTGTATCATGACCTGCCACTTTATGCCGTGGCGTGCAGTGGGGGCCGTCCGCCAGAGCCGCTTGGCGTAAGGAAAGGCTAGTTGGCCGCCGAGAACTTGGGCGACAGCTAGGGTGTCAATTGGAGGGAGAAAAAAAGTAAAGACTGCAAAAATAGGTTCAAAATACAAACAAAATCCAATTAGGGAGTCCATTTCAAGTCCCTGAAAGTCCAACAAAGTCCACTAAGTTAAAGATAAATCTGAACCCAAGCCACAAGCCATTCAGGCATTTTTTTGTCGTTGTCCACATACACTTTTAATTATGGCTTGTTCAACACTTAAATTAAAATCACTAAAATTGAAATCACTAAAAATTGGCTGGTAAAGTTTAACTTCTTTGGCGTTAACTTTATCAGATCATGTCAAGTGAGTGGCGAGTACAACGATGCCACTATCTGCCGTGCTTTTCATGTAGGCCAGCTCCTGACTTTACATCTTTTGGGACCGAATGGCCTACACGGTGTCGACAGATCGCTGTGAGCCTTGATAACCTATGTATGTACTTACAAGTACTAATGGCATCCGTGGCATCGATGTCGCCTCGAAGCCAGGCCTGCCAGGCCAGCCCGAGGTTAGCTGAGCAGTCGTCATCGAAAGTGAATCCCAAAAGAACAAACAGAAACCACAAGTAAACCATGTAGGCCACCAAGCCATTCTCCTGAATACCCAAGATAGATACCGGCAGTTTTACGAATCAGCCAAAGGAATGTGTCAAAATACTACGCCATTTTGAAAACCTGTACTGTGTGACAAGGTGATCTGAGAGCAAAGTTGAGAATACACGTGACAGTCGTAAGTTACACCAATTTTTCCCATAAAATCAGAGGTCGATTTTGGGGAGGGGTTAGCAAAGTGTCAGTCCAAAGTGAGGGACACTCCAATACAAACATTGCGTTTAAGTAACAAAATGGTATATAGACTCGCACCCCTCCATAGTTTTTAATCTGTTCTTTCTGTGAACTATTTTAGTAATTTTAATGGGTATCTTAATCTATTTCTTATTTGGCCAACTGTAAATCATTTTAATGTGTATTTTTACCACCCACTGTGCTTGCTGTGACCAATAGGAGCAGTTTTTTTACTGATTGGAGTAAACCCAGGGTAAGATAATAAACAAAAAGGAACATCGTCCCATACTCATGTCAGCAGACAGCTAAATGGTTATCTTGGTAAAAAGGTGGACACACTTAAATCTAATCTTATAGCTTTAATTAGGATGTGTAAAATGTTGAAGAAAGGTCCCCCCACCTCAAAGTTGGCACGTCCACCTCTTTGCCTCATGAAAATTTTGAAGAATGTTGTATAAAGCCGAAGAGTGAGGTAATTCGTTTTGTTTTCTAGTGCCGTACTCCACATCCACATCTATATGGGGTGGGGGTCTTGCTATCCTTCTTACCTCCATAACCACGTCTCCTTCCAACATCCCCGTAACGAGTTGGAACGTGCACACGACCTCCCCGGCATATCGCCTAGCGCAGCCCCCCGCTGGCAGGAATTTACCTATCAACCGCCGAGCGACGGCGCAGAGCAGGGTGGCCAACAGAGCGAACAAGACGGCACCATAGCCGCCAGGTAGCACCGCCATATAGCTGTCCGCTGTCTTTGTACCGTGTTCTCCAGCCTACCAAATCTATAACCTATACAAAGCATGCATGTAAAGTGATGTACAACGCCCCTGGTATGTTTACGTCACTGGAAGAAGACATCCACAATCCGTTTGATAGGACGTGATGTAACATACGTACGAAGCGAAAAAAACCTCCACTTGTCTGTGGAATAGAGTTAGGGCCAGGAGATCTTGTGCAAATTACTGCACGACCATTCCTGAGTCCCACCATCCCTCAACGCGAAAAAAGCACGGCCCGAAAGATTTCCTTGCATGCAAAACCGGCCAGCAACGTCACACAGACGCAAACTCTACATGCAAAGTACATATATCTGTATTCATGTAGTTGCTTCGTTGTGACGTTCACCGTTACTCAAGCTCCGACTCTGCGCTTTGTCGACATACAGAACATTGAATAGCGAACAAAAAATCAAGAGACCTACTGCCCATACAGCCAGTCTACTCGTCGCACGACAGTTACCTGTCGCTATGGTACTGCTCGTATCACTGGCTAAACATCTGAACTTTGATCGAAAGGTTGTCCATGAATACAAGAAAATCGAGCCCACTTAAATTCGATCCACCCTGGATGGGCAGGAAAAACCTGTAATGGTATAATAGCATACTTTATCTGTCTTGTTTTCCATTGAAGATTTTCTTAGCCATGGTGATGTGAAGATAACTGTGAATCCGCTAAATATTTTGAGTAGAACGCACTACTTCTGAAGTGCACAATTACACAGCAGCAGTACTGCCAGGCCTATAAGAATGGGCGTTAAATGTACATTCAACTTGGCGTTTACCATGAACATCGCCCCCTAACATTGCAACGTGCCCCCTCCACTTTCTAAATAGAGCAAATGAGGGAAACTTTATGAGGTAGAGTTTGACAATTCACTACCCGTAGTGGCCAAATGCATTCGAATTGTTTTGAAATACACGTACTCTGTTTGAGATAGTGACAGCACTGCTTACTAGCGCACTAAAAGTCGGACGCTAGGCTACTTTCACAGGACTTGGCTGCCGGGAAACTCGCGCGTATTTATGGATGTCTGGCAGCCAAAACGTCTGGAAGCAGCTTTATTCTGCAAAACGGGTCCGTTCCTTCCTTGCCACGTTCAATAGCCGGATGAAAAAGTCTTCGAGGCTTTCTTAAATTTTCTGCCAATGTCGTTTTGACCCACTCTTAATCTCGGTTGAAACGCATATCAGCTCACGTGTAAACTGTTCAGATTGGCATCACGATAATGTTTCATGCGGAGCTAAAGGCACTCATTAAAAATAAAAGTATTGATTATAAGGACGAACAAAGAAATTGACTGCAGCGGGATTTGAACCTGCGACCTCCATAGACGAATATAAAAAAACCTGGACTTGCAACGCCTTTGTATGAAGAAGCCAACCAGCGGCCATTTTACCGAGCCGAATACAAATACGTGGGTTGGCTCCCCTCTATTGACGTCAGGAAGAACGAAGGCGGGCATCGCCAGGAAGGCTTTGTATTCGGCTCGGTAAAATGGTCGCGAGTGGATTTAATGATTTCTATAAGCTGATTAAGGGTATTGCGAGTCCAGATTTTATTACACACGTCCGTGGCGACCTTCGAAATACCGTACCGGTTGCTCTCCCAACTGAGCTATCCAGCCCCATGTTAGTGGGTCTTCCCATTTGTCAAAAAATTAAAGTAATTTGAAAACTCCTTAATCGAAGATTTAATTCGTTCTATAGGCTGAAAATGGCCGGGTGATTCTGACACACTGCAGAAATAACATTTTTGCACTCTGAAGAGCTGAATTTCAATATTTTGGTTTATTTGGCGCAAACTTAGAACACACTCAAAAAGTGTTCCCAGGGTGAATTGTTCCAAATGATTATTTCAAGGGAGTGACAGACCCATGCCTAATTTCAATCCCAAAACATTACACGATCAACATGATTATGCTACCCTACTGCCTTCAACCCCCCCCCCACAAAATCCCTAGTAAAAGTAACCGAAGAAAAAATGAAGAAACCAAATTCCTAAACTTTACTGCTTAGCAATCATTAATTTACTGCCGATATACTTAGATTTACTTCAGATTACCAAATCAAACCCTTGGCAACCTAGCAGCCACATTCATACAACATTTGCTGCATGTATTTTCAATCTTACGCCCCACCCCTACCCAGGGGCATAAATGATATACACTAACATCATAAAATATGGGTCAAACCACAGACAAACACAGTTACAGCTTGAAGGGTGCCTTAACCAGTGTTACTGACGATGCAGTCTGGTTTGCTTTTTGTTAAATTTTACACCGCACATGCAATCATCACCTTTTGTTTTAAAAACCAAAATGCTAAGAGAGCAAAGAGACATGCATGAGAACAACAAGTCGACGACAAGACAGCAACAAACTCTTCCATCCCAAATGATTTACATGACACAATGTACTTTGCGGCAATGTTTCCACTGAACACTCACTTGTGCATGACTTAGTGTGGTGCTACAAAACAGGTAAAGGAACCTTCCATGATTAGTCTACAAGTGTGTAAAACCGTGCAACAAAACACTGTTTATTTCACACATACAATGTGAACAGGTGGTATTTATTTCTTATGTGGATTCAAAGAGGACACTTTGGTTTTTTCAATTTCATCTCACTTGCTTTGAGTGATTCAGAGACACGCCCCAGTAAACACAGGCACTGACAGCATCTCCTTTGAAATGGTGAAATGAGTGCTTGGTATGTCAATTATTTCAGGTAACCAGACTACTCAAGTGGCACAAATTCAAGTTCCACTAATTGCAGAACAAAACTACTGCCTATCTCTGTAAAATTTTGGAACTTTTTTGCCAAAATACCTACTAAATGATCTACATGTAGGTGGGATATAAAGGGGCCATGTCCATCCCTCTTAAAAGAGCCATTTTTATGTAGGAGGGGCCTTTTAAATAATGAAGAGTGCAGGTAAGTTATTTGTTACTTTGTTTTCTCCTCCATCTTTCCTCCCCTTCAAAAATGTGTAAAATCCTAAAAGTTTAGCCTCACTCCTCAGAAAGACCCATAACTATAACCAGATACATGTAAACCAGATAACACACATCAAAGTTCACACTTCAGAGCCCCAATATAGATGAATAATGACAACCCAACTCTCAACTGTATTCATTTCCTGGATAAGTTAGTCTTGGAACAAGCCGCAGTTAAAAGATCCAGTGATTGAGGTACCAGTTGTGATCATGATGCATTGTATAGTACTGCTGTGTAACATCACCTTTTGGCCAACCCCATCCGTAGATCTCTCTCCTTCTCATACTGCCTCTGGTCTGCCTGTGCCAGAAACTTCTGTTTTTCAATATAACTACAGTGAACGAACAAGCAAACAAATAAACAGCATTTCAGCATTATGATAAAGAAACAGCACAGGCATTTTAACTAAAAATCGGACGTCTTGACCACGGCTTCGTTCCCTCCAGATCATTAAAAGCAACAACGGTCCATTACAGCCAGAACTATTCAGCTGCTTTCTGATTAAGGTTTCAAGAACTGAAACATAAGAGGGTAGTTGAGGAGCATTGTGAAAGCTTTGTGCAACTTCTGTTAGATATTGGTACTGACCACACTGTTGAGAAGCTAGAATTTACAGAGAGAGCAATGGAAGCGACATTGATTAGTTGGTACAAAAAAAGGAGGCATCCAACACAGAAGGTGGATGGATGAATACACAGAGTATGGAAGCATCAAGAGAGAAAGAGAACAGCACGGGACAGAGTGGACTGGAATCTTGATGAAGAATTCCTTCCTTCCACTATGGAGTGATACAGGTTGGAGAGAAAATTTAAAAAAGCAGTGTCCATTCACAGCAGGAACAAAGGTCAGGTGTCACCCAGGTACATGTACATGTACATGTACATACAGTTTGATACCTTGCACACTTGCCCAGCAAGGGCGAGTGCCCAACACCCTCCACTGACCCATCGAAAGCCCCCCTTGTCCCCGTTTTTCCTCGGTACCCAGTCTGCATCTCCTCAATGCCCGCCCCGCCCCGCACCCTCAGCCCTTCCCTGTAATAATCCCTTCCCAGCCAACTCACCCTTCCTTGCCCTTGTTGTGTAACTTCAGTTCATCGGCAATGCCCTCAGTCCTTGTGAAGCTGTTCCAGTCCAGGCGTGATTTCTCCAGGACGCTCATCTTGGGCTTCTTGTTGATCAGCCCCAGCACACTGCTCAATCCCCCAGCAGGTCTCTTGGGCCTAGGAGACAATTTGTGTTGAGAGTCACCTCTTGTTTGTATTTTCAATTAAAAACAAAAACATCCATCCATGAAAAAAACTTGATTCAATTCAGATCTACATGTATACTTGATTTCCACACAAGAAAAGAAAAGGCCATCAAGAAAAATACCCCAAAACCAACTGCCGACTATCCAGGAAGGAGAAAACATTGTAATGATCTCTGTGAGCTTCAAACGGCCACCTACATGAATAAGATTAATGGGTTCCCACCTGCTTATGACTGACGATATCAAAAAAGGCTTCTGTTATTGTGATTGGTGAATTCAGCTGCCAGATAATTTCAAAAATGGACATAAAATTGACCAGGCCAAATAAGTAAAGCCAAAACTGTCTCATGCAGAAAAGCACTACGGCAAGGTATTCAGAAAAATTAGTGTTGATTTTGCAGTTTTTTAGTTTCCCAAGACTTTTGTTGATTCTGTTTACAGGGAATGTTGAAATGGTTTCTGTTTACATCTGTGCAGTACTGAAGTTCCAATATCTTCCAGAAAAATCTTTCAAAATTTCTCCCCTTTGGTCTAGAAATGCAAAAGAAAAAACAAATTCAAAATGTTTTGAAGTTTGGCTTCACAAACTTAACAGCATCAGAAACTTTGCCTGAGTGACACCTCAGGAATTGGACCTACAGCATTTCAAAAATCCCTGACTGTAAGTACCAACGGGACAGGCTTACCCAGTTTTAGGAATCGAAGGGGTAGACCTGGAAGCCCCATCACTAGCCACCATTCTGTCTCCTCCGCTAGGAGCTGACTGCGAGAGATTCTTAGCCTCTTTTGAATCTGCAGCAACTTCCTCAGTTACTCTGGAATAATTTTTTTTCAGAGAAAACCAAAAATTCTAAACATAAAAATGCACATGAGTGGCTTTACCACTAACTTAATGCAGATGAATTCATATATCAGTTACAAATTTTATCCAAAAATTCAAGTAACATATCAAAGTGATTAAATGCTGTTGGAAAGCAGATCTGGACCCAAATCCATGGCACTGCACAATTGATATTTCTGTTTTGAAAAGTAACGACAGGTTATCTATATCTATATCATTGGTAAAATCACAAAAATGGGACTGACGAATAATCCCTGAATATCTTACTTGAAAAAAAAGTGAGTAACAGCCTCGGTAACTCTGTAAAATATTTCCAACCAGAATGCTGCTGTTTTCGCCAACCATTGTTTCAAAGTGTGTTTCATTTTACATACCACATCCCTTAAATTGTGCAATTTTTTTGCATGGTGTGTGAAACATTGTACAAGTCTGAATAAGACTAAAAACACCTTGAAACACACTGGTGAAATTCCTCAAACACATTATTAACTGAAAGTAAGAGGAAAACAAATGTAAGGTCTGAGGTAAAAAAGACTGTATATCAGCCATGAACTAGTACAAAGACAACGTCGAGGGTAAGCCTTTGCTCAGCTTCTGAGTTTAGCTCAAGAATTGTGCAATGCAGCAGACCAGCTACTGATGTCTTCAGTCACACCATTTGAAGCAAGATATGGGATGCAGAGAACCCCCCCTTGTGTGTTGGTCATACTGGAAATACAGGAAATCTTTTCAGACATCTTGGGGGAGGGATGTGTCAGGTAATGACAGTCTAGCTTGCCTACAGGGTTTGGACATGCAGAGAGGATACCTCAGTCCTGTATCTTGCCGGGTACAGATCACACTACTGCACCAACTATCGAAAGGAGGGGAAGAAGTTGATTTCTCCCCCGATGGGTGGTCTCCACCGTTGAGAAACTACCTCATTCAGGGCGAGACCCGACTCATGTACATGTACCTTCCAATTTAGACTCATGTACACGTACCTTCCAATTTTATGTTACTAATTCATCCAAACAAAATAGCTTGCCCATGGTGCCAAAGTTCAAGATACCAGCAAGAGGATGATTGGGTCATGCATGACTAATCAGGGACAATCTGAATAAACCTTGTCCATATTCTAATTGCCTCACTAGACTGGATGACAAACAGGCAACACATCTGTGAATACAAAGTCTTAATAGTCTCATCACGATGAGAAAGGATGCACAGTTTGCAAGAAATATTCAACGCAACACTTTGTGAACAAAGGGCAGCTCATGTACAGTGACAAATCACAATCCAGTTGAGTGATTTTAATTTAAATGACTGATTAAGTGTTGATGTCAAGCTTTGTAAATAAGCTCACTTTCCAATGGAACTTCGAATTCATCGGGCTCTGATAGTAATACCGCATGTGTTAAGAGCATCCCTAAGTAAAACATGTCTTCTCTGATTTTATCTGTTCAAATAAATACAGAAGCATCCAAATCGAATGCAGTGTCATTTGTCTTCAGAGCTTAACTAAAACAAGATTAATAGAGCCTTTTTTCTGTTCATGCCAAGATGCAAATTCTGAATGTAGATTGCATCATTGAGGAGAAAACGAGGGGTACCCTCGCCCTGTATTTGTAGTGGATAAACCCTTGTGCATGCCAAACAGTGGCTACATGAGAGGTGTTCTTTAACAAATCATGACTTCATCAGTAGGCCTACAGTACCTGCACATTGTTTAACGACTGATTTTAATTGCAATCACGTCTTTGTCCAGATCGCGTGTTTGCATATGAAGATTAGGACATTGCAGAGCCCCACCCCCCCCAGGTGCACCCATCCGTATAAAATCCGGGACCACTGCTTCATAACAACAGGTGCCTGTACGCACACCACTTCCAACCACAAGGCTGCATGCAGCTTTTAGGAGCCAAGTCTCTGGTGATAACGAGCACTATTCCACTTGGCGCTCAATTGCCGTTCCACACACTAGACCATTAAACATGATTCTTCTCCTCGGCATCGGACTGTTGACAGCATTTGTGCTACCCTGCAAGGCGACAGGTGAGGTCCTCAGAATTCACCCCATGAGGCTGGTGAAACTGTTACATGCAGCACACCATTGACTAGAAAAAGGACAGAAACCTGACTTGTACGCATTGCTGAATTGAATACTGGTAACATGTCTGCTGCCGTTTTCTCCTCTCTCTGCTTTTTTGTACCTACTTGGTTGTAGTTATTTTCACTGATTCTTTAGCATGCAGACGAGCGACAACAGACATTCTGGAAACAACGTCCTTTGTGTGTGAATGTTCAGCAGAGTACTGTGACACTATACCTAGAGATGTGGGGTTGCGCGCAGGACAGTATGTCATCTACAGCTCCACTAAAGACAGAGACCGTTTCCACAGGACAACTTACTTGTTTGAAGACAGAGGTTGGTACATTTTGAGGTCAGAATCAACCGCACAGGCATGTACATGTATGATACATATTAAATATGTACAGGGAGGGATCCAAAGATTAGTTTTTTTGTTGTTTTTTTTCATGTAATCATTGTGGTCTTTCAGGGGTGTGAAGAGTTCGACATTTCAAGTCAACCGCCGCACTCATTTTAAATCGTGATTTCCACATGACAAATGGATGTGGAACTTAAACACACATGACAAGAAGCTACTTTGAGATTCTTATCTCTTCCAGCCGAGCATGACCAAAGGTTCGTTCTTGATGCTTCACGAGAGTATCAGACGATTCTTGGATTCGGAGGATCCTTCACCGATTCAGCAACGATGAACATCAAGAGCATCTCTCCCTCTGCCCAACACAACCTCCTCAAGTCTTACTTCTCCTCTGAAGGTACTTGTATGCATTGTCAGGCTTTGACATCAACTGGCCTTTGTAGAAAAATGATCACCAACCCTAAATTAAACTCTGCCTGTGACATCACCCCATTTTTGGGTGCTCTGTTATTTTGCAACAGATGGAGCCTTGGAGGCCACGCATATCACCTCCATCACCCCACTTGCCTTGAATAATGGAGAAGGAAACTGATTGAGGCAAATCAACAACCCCAAAAATGGAATGACAAACTACTGTACAATGGATAGCATACAAAGCTTGACTTTAGTGGTGTCAAAACTAATTAGTGTTAACTGGTGTTAAACTAGCCTGCCGAGGTGATCCATGAAACATTCTAGTTTCCCAAAATGAAGCAGTACAAGCTGGGCTTTTTGCCTGACCTCCCAATACTATTGACGAAAAGTACCATTAAAGATTTGTCTACATGTATTCAGCTACTTAGTATGGATATAAACCTGAAACTAAGCTACATGTACCAAAAAGGGCTCAATGCGAGTTTACTACAAATCTTCCCAATTGAGTTTCATGCAATTTTTCTGATGCAACGTCGAAAAACAAAGCTGTTGACCATTAAAAACCTTACGACACTCGACAAGGTCATCTCCTCTACAAATGTATATCCTTCATAATTTTTTATGCAGGTATAGAGTACAGTATGGGTCGTATACCAATGAGTAGCTGCGACTTTTCAGTTCGGGTTTATTCCTATGACGATCACCCAGGTGATTTTGCACTGGAGGAATTTATGCTGGCAACCGAGGACATTTCTTACAAGGTGACACAATAATCGCACCAGTCAGTGAAAAGATAACAGGGAAGGCTATTGGTGAAGATGTTTGTTACCACAGGACGCTGGATGAGCATGCACATCACTGAATGCTGTATCACCAAAAAAATTAACAGTCTGTAGCCCCGCCCCCTTTCTGTTTTAATTCAACACACACAGACCTGGTATTGTTCAGCGTCCACAGTGAGTGACTTTAATGTACATGTATGTACTCTAACTTAGGTTAATGATTAACAGAGTGCAAACAAACTGCAGGACCCTACACGAATGCACATGTACACCGGTACATGTATGGCAATGCATGGAACATGTACATTATGTGTGGTGTGTATAGTGTTGTGTGAAATGTGTGAAAAGATGATGGTACTTTCCCATTCATTGACACTTCGTCTCTGGTCACTTGCAATAACTCCTGGTTGGAGCATAAGAAAAATCTGGCCTTTTTATGTCCGATAAGAGTTTGGCAGACATAAGAACATGACCAATTGTTCAGTTTGCTTGTCAGTTGACTGGTGATGCGAGTAGAGGACTGTTTTTCAAATCCTCTGGGTAGCAATAGCATGCTTTCGTCCCTTCGTATGGGACTCACAACCCACAACGCATCGAGAAAGAAAAGGGATTGTCCAACAGAAAATATGGCATAGCCTACCAGTAGACAGAAAAACTCGCATACGGAAACAGTGTTTGGAGAAGTTTGACAATGTATGAGACAAGTGGAGGTGTTGCTGGCTCAGACTGTTTGGGAAAGAGCTTACTCTGCACAGCAATGCAAAGATGTCCAGGAATTCAGCATTTTACAAGATGAATCCCTTTTTCACATCACTGATGAAGAAAATCTTTATTCATTTTACACAAAACGACATCTGTGGAAACATCTATCTGCAATGATGGAATGCCTAGACATTACCCTTTTATTTACATGTACGTACATGTATGTACATGTACGTACATGTATGTACATGTACGTACATGTATGTACATGTACGTACATGTATGTACATGTACGTACATGAATGTACATGTACATACATGTACATGTATGTACATGTATGTACATGTATGTACATGTATGTACATGTACGTACATGTATGTACATGTACGTACATGTATGTACATGTACGTACATGTATGTACATGTATTTACATGTATGTACATGTAAACCTTGGAGGAGTGAGACCATTGACTGGTTTCATGGATGTTAAGCCAATTAAGGATCATATGTAACCTGCTGTGCCAAAATGAGTCACATGGCCAGAGCCACTTCTGAGTTAAAGGAATTTGAAAGAATCTTACACAGCATGGAAGCAATAGGAATCCACAGCATTTTAATATCTACACAACGTCCATTTTCATCATACTAAACTGAGTGGAGTAGCAAAACAAAGAGTTCAAAGTCCTCAATCTAATACAACATATAACTCAGCAGTGGCTCTGGTGACTTAAGACTCCTTTCTGCAGAGTGGCTCACATACATGCACATGTATTGTCCTCCACTGTTGAGTATTCCATGGTACAAGTCCAAAAATGTCAGGAACGTCCAAGCATTATCGTACATGTAAATTTACCTGTTATCTCTTTTGGACACACAGATACCAGTGATCAAAGAAGCCTTAGCCATGAGCCCACATGACATCAAATTGTTAGGTAGTCCATGGTCAGCCCCGGCCTGGATGAAGACTAACCAGGACATGGTAGGGGGTGCCCTGATGGGCCAACCAGGAGAGAAGTACTACAAGACCTGGGCTACATATTTTGTGAAGTATGCACTGAATTTCCATTCTTCTTTCTCTTTGTTTTTTCCCTCTTTTGGGGGAGGTTTTTTTTTTTTGGCATTACCAGTTTCTGTACATGATATGGGCTACGTTTGCTGGTTCAGGATATCTCTCCATTCAATTCTTGACACTGAAAGAAACGGTGGAAACCTGTGTCCAATTCAGACCTCTATAATCACTGATTTGTGTGGAGCTATTGTCACAAACATACATTTTCAGATTTATCACATCCTGGGCAACTATTTTCCTCATTCAGAGTTTTGAGGATGTTCATACTGTAAACAGAAGTCAATGTATGAAGAATACTCATCCATGTTTTTAAATCCCCCCCCCCAGATTTTTAGAGGCGTATGAGCAGCACCAGGTGCCAATGTGGGGCCTGACCATTCAGAATGAACCCTCAGGTGCCGAAGTCCCCTTTAACCTCTACTCCTGGCAGAGCATGGCAATGCCCCCAGAGACGGCCAAGGACTTTGTCAAGAGAGACCTGGGGCCTGCCCTCACTAGTAACGGCTACAGCCATGTCAAGCTGATGAGCCACGACGACAACATCCCTTCAGTACTGGCTAACTCCAAAGTGGTACTATCAGCGGTTCACTTTATTTCTGATTACAAAATCAAGCATTCCTAAAAAAAAACCTAGGTAGAGTCAGGCATATACACATGTATACTTGATGAAACCTTCAAAGAAACAGCAATTGACAACATGTGCACACCTACAGGTACATGTATGTACAAGTACACACAACGCCATCATACCCTACATTATGTAGACTTCTTTTGAGCAGAGGTCTACATGCCTGCACTGTGAATATATACATCAGTGTAAGGGCAAACCCGAGTGCATGTAATTAACATCTCATGTACATGTACACACACACATGTACATCCCTACAAACATTTAGAAAGCTCAACATCTTTTCAACTTTTCTGACATCCCTACTATTTGAAAATTCATAGATATATGAGGATGAGGAAGCAGCCAAGTTCCTGTCCGGCATAGCTGTCCACTGGTACATGACCAAGGGCTCCAGCACCTACAACAGCCTGGAGGAGACCCACCAGACCTTCCCCGACAAGTTCCTGCTGGCCACAGAGGCGTGCGAGGGCTACCAGCCCTGGGAGCAGCCAGTCAAACTAGGCAACTGGGAGCGCGGGGAACAGTATAGCTTAGACATCTTGCAGGTACATGTACATGAATGACAGAGCAACAGCAGGAGCTGTAACATGTCAGTGCTACCCCCCCCCATAAACACTGCATGATCCTGTGACTTCACAGGGAATCAACTCACACCCTTGGTAGAGAAAGTCACCCATCTTTAAATTTTGACCTTCTTAAAAAATTATTTCTGGAGGACCTGAGAGTACTAGCTCAACTTTTGCAAATCTGAAACCACTGCAAAACTGTTAAATTTCTCTGATAGATGAACATGTGTTGGACCAGTATTCCATTTTGTTTTTTTTTAAATCATCCCATGTTTACCCTCCTCCGGGACTCCAAACCCAGGTACACTGCAAAAAATGTGTCATTGCTTTCCCATTTCTTGGGAGCATTCCTTAAGCACCTGCACTCTTTGTGTATGTATGTACATCACAAGAAAGCTGGCAACTGGTCAGGTGCATGAAGTACACTTAACCCCTAACCAGCCGGGAATGCGGATGCCTTGAATTGTTTGAGTGGTCATTGGCCAATCCTGAATTTCCATAACACTTCTTCTGTTGTCCTCCTCAGGATCTGAAACACTGGGTGACAGGTTGGGTGGACTGGAATCTTGCCCTTGATCTCTCCGGCGGACCGAACTGGGCTGGTAACAACGTAGACAGCCCCATCATCGTGGATGCAGAGAGGGACGTCTTTTACAAACAACCTATGTTCTACCACATGGGCCATTTTAGGTCAGTAAATATGTGTATTGGCACATACACAGGGCCTTTCACATAATGCTTTTTAATTGCAATTCTATTCCAAAAGTGCAGCTTCTGAAGTTTAATTTACAATGGAAATCAGAAAACTTTACCAGATAGAAGTACATGAGATTCGATTTCACTTTTAGAGTCAACATTTTAGGTGAGAAATCTTTCCAAAAAAAAAAAGCAAATTTCACAATGAGGTACATGTACACACGTACAGACATATTCAACCTCTAGATAGGGTCCCATATTCCCCTGTTGCCACCCCCCCCCCGATCTGCGCTTGACACAGTTTATGCCTGGTTCAATCTTATCAAGCAACAAAAAAACTACACGTACAGGTATTTCATTGTTAGTACAACTAGTAGACAGGAAAACCATTCACTAATCATCAAAAATTGCATTTCTCCTTCAGTAAGTTCATCTATCCTGGTTCAGTGCATATTGACCTGCGAGTGGAATCTCAAGCGCACACTACACTGCACAGCATAGCCTTCAAAAGGCCTGACAACTCTACAGTTATTGTTCTTTTGAACGTGTGAGTACAGTAATGCTTCATCGTCACCATTCTGTGGTGTATCAAGACACTATTAATTTCTCTTTTAGACATGCATGCAGTCGTGTCCCTGGCACTCCTGAAGGGCACAGCTGTCTTCGTACCATACAGATCTTATTATGCAGCTGCAGCGACCCATGGGATTTGCCACGGGCAGTGCACCTCTTCAGTCAATGACTGATGTGGGTATCGTGGAACTATTTTCACAAAGTCTTTGGTCACCTCGCCCCTTGATATCTAGTGGAAAGTGACTAACTACAATTCCAAAGTGAACCATTTCTACTGAGGAACAGCTGCAGTCTCTGTAACAGTGGCTGGGTTTATGGTACATGTGCCTACACTGTACGTGTATATGCCCAATATATGGGTACTTGTACTTGAAATCCTGGACAAAATTGTTGGGAGATGTGTCAGTTGACCTTTTAGAAGTACGGCAGACACAATAGGAGGGCAGTATTTGGTTTGGGTAAAATCTTTTGTGTTTGCTCCAAATTTATTCACTTCAAACAGCGCCCTCCTATTGTGTCCGCCGTGCTTCGGAAAGGCCAATAGCCATACCCTTTCTAGGTCCCCCTCTCCTCTGGTCAATGTTGTCATCTCGAGCTGGAGTGCAGACCACACAGTGAGACCCGACACTGAAAGCGGGCCTGGGGGTGGGGGCCAAACGCCATGTCGTTTTGCATGTGTTTTCCGGCGTTCTTCTTGGAAAACATAAAATGGCAGCTGGCAGTTGAATAGAAGGTACATTTTGGACAAATTGTACAAGTAAAAGAAAAAAGAAAAATACCAAGTTTATATTGTGTGTGTACAATCACACCTGTCTTGTAGGAGCTCATCGTATACAATGCACCATAGAATTTCAGCCCATAACTGTCTAAAATTGATGCGTTACAGAATTTGAAAGGCCCATTCTGGTACAAAAACAACTTACAATCCTGTGGCATTTTCCTCCTTTTGTCATTCCGTTATACCGGTAGATTTGAAAAATGCAATGATGATTCATCAAAACCCCCCAAAAGGGAAGTGAGAAGCTCAAATGCTTTCATGATAAGTTGTGCCTCACCGTTGTTATCGTGTTATGTATATCGCACGTGCATGCCGCATTTGTGAGGGCATGCTTCCAGCTCTGTTTGGTGAAAGTGAAGAAATACAATCATTACAATTCTGTCTGCGCAGTACAGATCACAAACATTTTAGGCACTATAAAACTCAGTGTCCCTAATACTTCAATTTGTTGCCACTGTTAGTTAACAAAGCTGAGATCTAGAGTCCTTAAATTCTATTGTCCTATCGACGATAGCCAAGGAATAGCCAGTACCTCCCCGCATATTGTTGGGACACGTGTCAATAGCCATATCCTTTCCAGGATACCCACTCCTCCGGTCAATGCTGTCATCTCTATCAACAACTGGAGTGCAGGCTGCGCATTGAGACCCAACATTTAGGGGGCCAGGGGTGGTTGGGGGGCCAACAAGATTTGGCCAGGATTGTAGATAAGCCACATGGGTATCTGAACCCACTTCATGGGTAAATACATGTATACGGCAAACCATGACTCAAGAGAGCTACAGTCTGAGCTGTGCTGTAGAGAGGCGTCTTCTTCAACAGTCGGTGTTCATCGGTCACATTTAAGAGCAAACTTAATGATTGCAGTATGTCTGAAGTGTTGTATCAATTTTGGTTCATCACTATCATCGCCCTGCATCTTCAAAACACTCCTCACCCAGTCTCTTTGCCGTTATCTTGCACTAATAACCAATTTTGGTGTCTTTTGCAGTGGTGCATCTATAGAGGAAGTCACCGTACACGACCCCAGACATGGCTACATTAACACCAAGTTACCCCCGCGGTCCATCCACACTTTCATCTGGTGATCAACTGAAGAAGCCCCAGTCCAACGCCAACTTCTGTTTGAGTGACTCTACGTCAAAGTTTAATTTCAGAAATTTACTTCATTCTCACCACCACATGATACTGTTTTCCCTTTTGTCTCCAAAGCGAGCTTGACTTGAGATACCTTAAGCCAATCAATGCACATTTAATGTCCCAAGTCTGATAAGGGATGCTCCTTTTTTGTTTTTAAAGTAAGAAGTGTTAAAGTATCTATTGTTCCTTAATGCCATAGACCACAGTTTTGATCACGTTCCCTGAACATGCTGAATCTATATTAGTGTACATTTGTAGTCTGTCAAATGGCGTGAAGAACCTTTTGGTCAGTAGCCCTTGTACATGGCCGAAGACCAGAACAAACATGCCAAAGTCTCCTGGTGCATTAACAGGGGTCGAAATTAACATCAATGTCTTGGTGGCCTGCAGGGCCAGTGGGAAGTGCACTGCACTTGCCCTCGTGAAAAGTTGGGGGCACCAGTTGAGTACACGTAATGGAATTAATCAGGCCTACCACACATGCCCATTTGTGTCCTTAGAACTTCTCTACCAAAACAGTTGATTGGCAAGCCTGGCTGGATTTAAATGAGGCCAAAAAAACCTAGTTCTGCTTCTGGTTACACGACCAATCCTAAATTTTTGAAGCAACTGTAAAATTGATATGGGTAAGTTAGAAACACACATTTAAAAACTTTTTTAAAAAAGAAAAAATCCTGTCTTTTCTGTCTTCACAAAACACCTCACAACAATTTTTTTCATACCTAAAGCTTGTACTTTTTTGTTTGCCTGCTTACAATTACCACATTTGGAAAGATGCTTCCATTATTTTCACAAGTTTCCTTCGCATTTCACTATTGCGATGGTGAAAACATGCACACAATAATGCTTGATGTGCAGAAGCAAGGTTGCACTGGTTCCCGCAGCGCCACTGCCAAAGAAAGTGTGATGGTAAGGTGGCAACCAGTCCATGCATCCCGGTCAAAATAGCATTGTACAATTCACCATATACACATGCAAATCTACAGCTACACATGGAAAAAAAATAATGTCACAGGAAGATTTCTACAAGTTAATTCCAAGAACTTGATTTGTTGTCTATACATGTACATGTATGTATTTTTTGTGTTCACAAATTTATTTCGAGGTTACATTGCTTGTACGTAACAATCGGCCAGATGCAGACTCAACGTAAACTCAATGCGACATGACCTATAAAGGTTTCATTGGTTTTCGCGGGGGATAACGTTAAACTGGCATGAATGACCGTGCAATGAATGTCGCGCTGCATGCTATGTGTGTACATGTATGTAGCACACGAGCCCGGCACATGATAGCAGGCAATCACAGCCGTAAGGACTGTGGAATTATACCATGAACTCGAAAGTGTTGCCCAGTCATTTGAAAAACAAGTCGTAAAATGTGATGAAAGTTTTGAAAATGTGGCAATGTTCCTCAAATGACCCGCCAGGCCATCGTTTTTGGAGAATGCAATACCCCAGTGAATTTTTTATTCCTGCATTCAGCAGAGAGGTTTCATCAACAGGAATACATTATAGCCTAAAAAAATCATTAACAACACAATGAGTAGGACTGAGAGGTTGTTTGTCTTTGTTTTTTTTTGAAGAGCGATCTGTTGAAGTTTCTTCTCATATGAAGAGTTCAGATGCAAAAGTAGATGAACCAATTTGGCACCTTTTGTGAGAATCAACGTTTAAAATAAAATGTGATTATGTATGTAGCACACGAGCCCGGCACATGATAGCAGGCAATCACGGCCGTAAGGACTGTGGAATTATACCATGAACTCGAAAGTGTTGCCCAGTCATTTGAAAAACAAGTCGTAAAATGTGATGAAAGTTTTGAAATGCAAACAAAGCAAATATCTACTTATGTTTGTATATTTAGGCAATAAAACTGAACTGAAAAACAGCCCATTACTATGTACATAAACTTGGACTCCCCATTCCATCATGCATTTTTAAGACATCTAACATTTTTAATTCTAAGATAATTTAATTTGCTCAGTTAAAAATTATTAAACAGGTGGCTGAATTTGCCGCATGTACTGATAAGCATAGGGTGCATGTGGCCAAGTGGTTGGGGTCTGTGGATTCCAATCATAGGGTTGGAGGTTCGAATCCAGCTGCTGGCAGTATCTTGTGGCCCTTGGCAAGCCACTTCACCCCAGCTTGCCTCTCTCCACCCAGAAGTATAAATAGGTACCAGCATTAGCTGGGAAAGCATCCCATCCCCTCCAACGGGGAATAGAAATATTCTCGGGTTTTTTCTTGACAAGAAACCAGAGATAAACACCTGTCTGATGAGCCAAATTGACTTGGACCAGACTTGCTTACTGATAAGTACATGTATAAGTAAGATAGGCACAGCAACCCTTCATTCGATAATTTTTCATGGGGGAATTCTGTAAGTTGAATAAATTGAAAACAGAAAGAGCAAAGCTTCATGATCTCCTGTGAGCTGAATTCAATTTTTAATGCCCTTAATGTTTTCTGGCCTCAAACATTTTTTAAAAAGCTACTTGCTTTACTAACCAGCAGTTCCTTCCTTGTAATTTACGCACGATACCAAAAAGTCTTTTACATAGGGCACATAGTACCGTCATGAGCACAAGTTTCATGTGAGATAATTCCATATTTACAACAGTATTATTAAAAAGGCATGTCATCAACTTAGAATCCCTTCCCAGACCATCTGGGTTGAGCCTCCCCGATATCTGAAAAGCGATTGGGAATTTGGATTAAACCTAGCAGGCCTGGAGTGTACTCCACTGGGTCTCTGTGTCACACTCTGGCTGATCACAATAAAAAGCAACTTGAAACAAGCTAATCCTCTTCTTTCCACTCCACAATTAGCCAACTGGGCAAACTAAACTGTTGACAATGGCCAGTCTTCACTCTATGTGGCTAACTGTTCAAACTCTTAGTCATCAATTCAGGCCATTGGGGGGGTGTCACACTTCAGTATTAAAGCAGGCAGCATCTGGCTTCATACCAACTAGGTTGGAAGGGATTAGCATACTGGCCTGGTGCCTGAACCATCTGTAATTTGATGTCACGCCTAAAGCAACGCAAGCAAGACACAGAAACCCCACCCATCCCTCAACAAGAGCACTGAATCACACTTACTTGACTTCTTCGCCTGCAAAATCGAAGACCTTGGTGATGGTCACTGTCTTCCTTTCAGCAGCATCATTTGTCTCTGGCTTTGTTTCACTTCCATGAGTACCAAGAGACACCTTTTTATTGAAGAAAAAACAAACAAATAAAGTACCATCACAATGAAGTGAAGAAAAACATGCAAGACAAATGGATATCACCCATCACAAGGATTCCATGCTAAGCATGGATATTTTGTGCTTGGTAAATTTCTGTGTGTCAAAATGGCCATGAAATAATAGCAAAAGACATATGTACTTTTCCACAAGGAAGTGACTGAACGTGATCCAACTCTAGATGGGATTGTCCTTGATGTCCTCTTTGGAGAAATCAATGTGCGTTTGTCAACAAGAATGTTATAATAGAAAGTAGGTTTGCGGTAGCACCATGGAGGTATCTCTTTTGTGAGTATTTGTGGTTCTGAAAAGGGACGTCGAGTACCACTGGTTCTTTTCAGAAACGCAAATACTCACAAAAGAGATACGTCCACGGTGCTACAGCAAACGTACTTTCTATTTTACCTGCTCACCATGCAAACCTTCAAGACTTATCAACAAGAATGTTGCTTTGGCCAACCGAGGAGATAAAAAGGGCGTCACATCACCACCAACACTCCCCTAGTAACTCCATTCCTACCATCACAAATGAGATTCGCTGCCCGGAAAGGAACTACATGTACATGACTCCTTGAATGACACTGAATGACTCCCACTTGTACCATTGTCACTTAAGCAAATAATCACTGGTTACAAAGCGGTGTTTTAAACAAAAGACTTAAACTCGACAGAACAGTGCCTGTTTTGCTGTTGCTCCTAGTGAGTCTGTGCTGTCATGGCTGGATGGCTGTGGCCTGGCCTTGGGTTTCTGGCCGACATCCTTCAAGAAGCTGCTCCACAGCTCCTTAGCCTTCTGTTTCTCCTTCTCCTCTTTCCTCAGCTGGGCTGCTCTCAGCTCCTCCTTGTACACGCTGGCAGCAGCATCCTCCGCATCCTGCGTGGGTTCCTTGGTGCCCGCTTTTTCCTCCGCCTCTGGAAGTTGGATGCCTCCTGTCCTAACCCTTTGAGAGGATACGTATGCATTTATGAAAAGTTGTAGAGAATGAAAGTGCCACTTGACTGGGTGTCAACCCAGATTGCCAACCACTCGCGAGTCTGTCTCGTGATTAGCACCATATAGTGAACACCTTGTTATTGTCTGCATGTACTCACTGCGACTCTAAGACTCGGATCAGCCACTTGTCTGTATCCCTGATAAGATAGCCAAATACTACACAATCCAATAAATTCACACAGCCACCTATGTAACCAAGGCATACTTCTCCGCAGTCTTCAGGCTAAACATACTGCGACTGAAGTTGAGTCCAGCACAAGTCCTTTTGAGCATCCTGTCAAAACCAGCCACAAGAAACAGGACGGACGATCAGAAAGGAATACTTCCATCACAATCTACTTGAATAGCGTGTGACTTGGCATGAGACTGGATGACTTGTGACGGACTTGCTAAGACTTGTGGTGAACTCGACCACGGGCTTGTAACACACCCAGGTCTTTCAAATTCCAACAGTGGGTAGAAAGCATTTTGCAGGATGTCGGGAAGTACAGACTAGCTACGAGTACGCCACTGGTACCTTGTTGCACTACACATATAGATATTGATGTACATGTAAGTGGAGTTATGCCATTTTGTGAAGTTTGGCATGACATTGGTTACAGAATCTGCTCTCAGAGCACATGCCAACCAATTTCGTGTACTGGCGCTGAGCTGCAACAAAATCAACTTAGTGTAGATCACTGATTTGACAGAGGTCAAACGACTGAGTTAGAAAAGGAAAGCACCACTCAGTGTTGTAGTCAAGTCCGTCAAAGACCCTGCAAGTCCATCACAAGTAATCCAGTTCCAAGTCAGCTCAGACACTATCCAAATGAACTATGACAAAAAAATATTCCTGTCTCATTGTTCACCTTATGAAAAGACTTGTGAGGAGACTTGTAATGGATTTCAACTGCAACGCCAGATGGAAAGACAGCATCATTCTGGATGCATTCAACTTCACTGAAGGATGGTACGCTTGCCAACCTCATAACATTTTCTCACTGGATATGTGTACAGTATGCATCAAAAGGTACTGAACACGAGCAACTGATGTAAAACTCAAAAGAGTGTAACCCAAACCCCAATGAGAATGGTAATTATCAAAGAAAGTTTCATTACCTCTTGATTTCGGGAACCTTCTGTCTCTTCCTCTTTTTCCCTGCCTTCTTGACCTTTGACCTTTGTTGCTCTACAACCTCTCCATCTTTGCGGCCATCATCTTCCGTTTCATCGTCATCAGATTCTCCTTCACTTGCCTCTCCTTAATGATACCAAGAGGAGTTCAGTCAGTCACTTGTCCAAAAATGTCACAGTGATGAATGTAACAAAAGCCCAGGTGTACATACATGTGGATATAGTTGTTGCTGGCAAACGTTTCTAAATGTTACTTAACTGGACACAACTAGACAGCGCCCTCTTTGGTTCGTATGCACAAGTAAGTCTATCAAGGTTATTAACCCTAACCCCTACGGTGTGTGTAAAAATCATACTGAAATTGGAGGATTTGGGACCGTTAGGGATGACATCTAAATTCCAAGTAGGTTCAGGAATCTAGTGCTAGTGGTGGATAGCGCCCATGCCTTAAGAGCAATGATACGCTCCCAGGTGGGTTAGATTCCCAACGGTCAACTTTTTTTGGTCCTGAAAAATTGTTAAATTGACTACGTGTTGTAATTAGAGAGTACGGTGGCGTACATTTTCTTTTTCTGGTTCTCCGAGTTCTGGAGGAATTTTTGGGGGAAAAGTCTGATATTTCACTGATGGTGAAACATGAGGTAGAAATATTGCTCCGGCAAGGTACTAGAGAGGTGGAAAATCAAACTGGGATACGAAAATGTCACACTTTTAGAGCCCTATTTCTGGATTTATCCACCAGACTGCACTACCTCCGTGTCTTTGGCCCCACAACGGTCCACCCAAAACATGCAGAATCCGCGAAAATGCCTTCTACATGTATGAATCCATTTTGCATGTATGGCCCATTCACCCCATCTGACCACTGATGTATTAATATGGGTGATTTTCAGTAAGTAGAAGTCTGTGAAATTTGGGTTTTGATTTTGTCGTCTTCAAATCCGCCATTCGTTTACAACAGCAATGAAGTCCCGCTCGTTTGACCGATGCCAAACACAGTGCGTTGTGTATGCGTGAACGCAAGAAAGTATCAGAAACAACAGCCGTCAGGTATTTTCATGTGGCGCGTCATCATTGTGCGTGCACGGGATGGGGATTGGACAAGCAAATGGTGTGCGCACCACACACTATGCTCTGGCAGCAAGTTCACACTTGACTCGATCCCAAGCATCGTGTATATTTCAGTTCATATTCATCAACATTCTTTGGCAATGTCGTGCTCTGGGAACCTACGTACATGTACATGTATTAAATCTGTCTGGTTCCCAGACCAAACAGATCCTGACTGTGTTTGGCGTTGATCCAACGATTGGAAGTTATCGCTGTGGTAAATGAATGGCCGATGTGAAGACGATCAATTCAAAACTAACATTTCACAGACTTCTACAAACTGGAAATGCCTATCATGCATCAATGGTCAGACATGTCAGATGGGGTGAATGGGCCATACACAATAAATGGGGTTCATAGAAGGCATTTTTGCAGAGTGTCCACTTTTTGGCTGGACCATTGTGGGGCCAAGGATATGGAGGGAGTCCAGCAGACTGGCCTCCTAGTCTGGGGCTACCACTGGCCTAGCCCTGGTTGGAAGTCGTCTACATTGTGCATTGCGACTACTAACGTTCAGGGTATAAGTCCTCCTATAATACCCTATATTTTTAACGGTTTTTCTGACATTTTTACCTGCCGAAGACAGCTCAAATGTCGTTCATAAGTGTCTTAAACCCAAAATTCCATAAATGGTGTGTTGTAATTACTAAATACGCCCACGGACAATTTATAATACTTTGCAGGAACTTTAGTGCAACTCCATCCTTTCCGTTGTGAACAATCGAAGTTCGTCTAGGACACAAACATGTACTTGCACATGTGCAAAATGCAAACATGTAGTAACCAACCACCCCTTACACATGCACGGAAGAGCTGTGGGCGTGAGAAGTTGCAGATCATAAGACCGTGTGTGAAACGGGCTTCCGATTTCAAGCTACGGCTACATGTCGGTCCGTTGTCTGAGCGTCTCCATCTCCGTCTGTATTTCCAATGGAGGGAAGACTTAGACCTTGTTCTAGACAACATAACTGACAGAATTTGGGCCGAGCTTGGAGGCCATTTTGCACATGCGCAAGTACGTACTACGAGTACTAGATGAATGTAGATTGTTCACAAATCGCGACGGAAAGTATGGAATTTCGCTAAATTTCCTGCAAAATATGTTGTCCACGGGCGTATTTAGTAATTTCAACACAGCATTTATGAAATTCAGGAAACTTTTATACCCTGGACGTCAGTTGTAGTCAATAGTGTAAATGAAGGCAACGTCCAACCTGGGCTACCAATAAAAACCATGGGCCGTGTTTGGCCATAGCATGGGCACTGATGGGCTGAGCAGGTTAAGCACATACACTGACAGTGACATACATCAAGACATAGGCCTAGAGTCCACTGTACCGTGTCTACGAACATGCTACGAATCACACTTTTCATGAATCAATCTTTTAATATTTGGACATGGTCTGTAACTATCGCCCGACCACGTCGAAACGTGTTTTTTAAGGCGAATCGTAGAGTCCAGTTGATGTTCGACTCGGTGCGTTAGGCCATGCATCATACATGTCGTAACGGGAGTAACAACGGACATGCATGCCGGGTCAACCATCACTCAGTATGCGGCGACTAGCAGGACACCTGATCACTGCCGATTTTTTTTCTCTTCTCTGAAGTCTGGCATGTATTACCTGATGGTAAATAATCTTCGTCCTCGTCAGAGCTGTAGTCTTCGTCTTCAGGTTCACATAACATCTTCGGTACGCGGGAGATTGGAAAACTAAGGCTCTAGCCTCACCTTTCTACACAAACGTTACCGTATAAACACCTTCATGTACATATACATGTATACTGCATGTACATGTACTTGTCATGACGAAGCCACATTTCAGGCCAACGCTCAGCAGTATGGTGTTCCATATGTGCCAGTCGCATTTTTCACCGGGCGTCGCATTTTTCACCGGGCGTCGCATTTTTCGACGGCGTCGCATTTTTCAACGTGCGTCGCATTTTTCGACGGCGTCGCATTTTTCAACGTGCGTCGCATTTTTCACCGGGCGTCGCATTTTTTGACTGGCGTCGCATTTTTCAACGTGCGTCGCATTTTTCACCGGGCGTCGCATTTTTCGACCGGCGTCGCATTTTTCAACTTGGGTCGCCTTTCAATGTGAATAAGCCATTAATCATCAATGGTCAAACTTGGTCCAGCCGGACCTGACGTTGTTGACGTGGATGCTAAAAGTGTGCGTATATTTTTTTAATGATTATGGAAACGGATAAATTAGAACTAATAAATAAGAAAGCAATTATCTTGTTGCCCTATTTGTATTTCCAAAAGCGTCGGGAACTGAAACGTTCGTAGAATTAAAATAATTTACAGTTGATAACCAGCACAACTGTATGCGTAACATCTTCTAGCATATGAAATACAGTACTGCAACATAAAATCATGTAACTCTACTTTTGAACACAGAAATTACTTTACATAAAACCTGCTTACAACCCACTGCCTTGCAAAAAGTGGTAGAGAACATGCACCACATTTTAAGATTGAGGGCATACGAGCAATGAAACCCAACAAAGGAATATTCAGTAAGTAAAATTGTTATATTTAATTAATTTGGTACAATAATAGCGGATCGAGAATGTATTTGACACAACCACTGCTTGAATGAAACTTGCATACAAAAGAAATGTTTCAACCTAAAGTGTCTCTTCTCTCACTGCTACCGTATTTCAAGACGTTCTGTTATCCTTACCCGCAAACTTATTAGGAACCTGTTCAGTGTCAAGTCGTCAGGACTTCTTCTCCTAAGATTCAATTTGCGGAGAATTCTGTGCAGCGTTCTCAGGCTGACAGTACAAGGAATAAAACCATATCCATCTCTATAAAACAACGCACAAGTGTAATTTCCACGCATGGGCCGGAGGATAGCGATACTAACCGTTCAAAGTCTAACTGGTACATGTACATATACACAAATACTACAGCTATAGGCCAACACTCAAGTCATCCATGTCAGCATATACAAATAAAGTAGGCCAATACCTGATGGTTATTCGATGTCGAAGGACCAAAATTGAAAGAACCTCATCGTAGCTGTAGCCTGCTTCAAAGTAATGACGGACCAATCGGTCTCGTTGTAGGATGTGTCATTGCAGTCATTGTTGAAAGCATGTTGTGGTTGTAGCAACGTATACATTTCTACTCATGTCGGAGGTTACAGCATGTAGGCTACAGGCTGTGTTTTACCAGGCACGGTATACGGGACGGAGGGGTACCCCCCGTTACCTGTCTAATCCGTATACACACTCTAGACTATTGTTACCTAACACACACCCCCTAGAAGTCTGTAAAGAATTTCTGAGATTCCGATTAAACAATGACCAACGCAAAGGTGGTGGTTCTCTCCGTCCAATAACTGGCTTCAAATGGGCTGTCTGGAGGTCAAAGTTAATATTTTTCTTCGACAAATGCGACGCCGGTTAAAAAATGCGACGCCCGTCGAAAAATGCGACGCTGGCTGAAAAATGCGACGCCGGCTGAAAAATGCGACGCCGGCTGAAAAATGAGACGCCCGTCGAAAAATGCGACGCCCGTCGAAAAATGCGACGCCGGCTGAAAAAATGCGACACCGGATGGCACATATGGAACACCATACAGCAGGCATGTCTGTATTCTTGATTTCAAGATGTTAGTGCTTGATCGATAGCAGACACCGTGCATAGTGCGCCAGCTCGTAAAACTAGTTGTGCGAAGGCGCGTTCTTCGACAGAAATAAAATAGCTATCGATCACTGACGCCTTGGGCCAAGACTAGTATGTCATGTGAGCTGAGGCCGTTTTTCTGAATTTGTTTTGGCTGAGGCTTAAATTATACACGACTCTGTAGAAAGTAGCGTTTTCATTTTAGGAACTTTTTGGGACATATTGTTTTCAGATGTTGGTTATTTATTTTTTAAATTATTTCTGTTATAAATGTTTTAGAGTTTGTTTTCTGTTGTACTATTTTGATAAGAAAATGTTGTTCGCCCGTGATTATTATTTTTGTGACATGTTACTTTTAATATTTTAATTAAAATTTTTAATAATTTGTTTCTCAAATGGTTTTTCTTGTTTTGTGTTTCATTATTTAGATTTTTGAACAAGAAGATTAATTCTGTTTGCTGTTTATTTTTGTTAAAATTAATTTGGGGACTTATGGCCGCCCATACAGCCTAGCCGAACGTTTATTAGCGCGGCCTGTCATCAGTGATCAAACTGGCGCCCAATTTCAATGTGTGGCGTTATCACTGATCTCCGTTAGTATAGGGCCGTTTTCCAATACTCAATTCAGCGGCGTCTCAGGCTTCAACTGTTTTTAAACTAGCTGACTTTGAAGCTGTAAGAGCAGTAATTAGTCTAATGTTTTATTCCTCCGTGGTCTAATAGTGCCACAGGACATCAAATAAGATGCGAGAGAGCCAGAAATTACAGTAATATAATTTAATTTAAACGCTTCAGGCCCACAATCGGGGATTGGTTTGGGGAACGAAGCCTAAGCGGAGCCCAAGTCGAGTATTGGAAAAGGGCCCAGGGAGGAGGCCTGGATCGGAGTGCGCTATATACATGTATATACGCAGCTCGATTATGACGGAGAATCGTTCTATTCGTAGACATGGGAATTCCTAATATTCGTAAGTCAGCTAGCTCAGCGGCGCGGCCTGGCTTGCAAAGTTGCAACTTGCAAGTAAAGTAAGCTGGCGCGCCCACACGTCGACGGTCCATTTACGCGTGATGATCTGCACATATGAGGCCTAGTAAGTTATAATATGCTGAGTAGGCTAGGCCCGAAGAAGTTGTACTAATGCATGAACTGATATGAATTTTCATACGAATGCATGAACTCATACTAACCATGTACTAACGGATGAGTGATGGAGGAGCGTCCTTGGACCGCTCTTTTTTAACGGCTTTGCTTTCGACCTGCCGTTTTTAATGTGTGTTAAGTCACAAATGAGACAGTATTTCCAGCTTCATTGATTCTTTCCCTCCGTGGTCACCCCCCCCTTTTTTTTAATACCTTGTGGTTTGTCTCCTCTCTCAGTTCTGTCTTTAGGCCTACACAGCTTTCTTCAGACTCAGAGTTCTGTTTACTATTCCCCCTCCCTTTTTGTTTCCCCACTGTGCCTTATTTGTTAGCGAGTCCCACTTTTGCCCAACCTAGTAACTGTTAACATTTTAGGAGAGCCTCTAGACAGCAATTAAGCCCGTTTGCTTTTTCGGCAATCCTTCAGGGGTGTTATCAGTTTTTTAGATCTCTGTGGTGTTATTCGTGTTTGAGTGTATTTATGTCGTGTTCTTGCCTGAGAAATAAGCAATAAATAATTAAAATAAATAAAGTTGGAAATGCTGGAGGGAACAAGCACTGACAAGGCTTGTTTCTCCTAACTGACGTTAAACTGAGTAGGCCTACTGAAAGTTGGGACAGTCCTTGTCCGAGTTGCACCCCACAAATCACCTTTTCCAAATGTTAAAGGAACTAGGAAATAGATATATTTTTATACATCTTACTAAAGACCCTTGAAACTGCATCTTTAGGTTTCAATTAACCTCATTTTAAGTTTTTGTTTTGCAATTTAACCCATATTTTGATGCGTTTTTGGTTTTATGCTATTTCATATTTGCATGTTCATGAGCAGAACTATGATGTCATCCAAGGCACTCAATCTCAATGTTGCACCGATTTGTACACAATGAATTTCTAGATGTTTTTTAACCACTGCTATGGCAGATTTTCTTTTCTTTAGCAATTCATTGCTGCGTAAGTATTTGGCAAAAATCCTTTTCACAGAAATGTTCCCAGATAGCAAATTTGGGGTTCACAATTTGAACATGAAAACGTGCAACCTGAACCATATATTCCTGGATTTACATCAAAGCAAAAGCGCCCTCACTTGTACAGAAATGCTTGGTCAATTTTTAATGTTTGAAAAAGTGTACTGCTCAGTTCACGTAACTCAAAAAAGATGTCAAACAGTCTTCATACATGGAAGAAGAGTACAAAGATACACAAAAAGTGATTCTAAGAAAAATTCATTTCCTGGTTCCTTTAAAAAAGGCGACTTTGTAGGGTCAAGTTACACGGACTAGGGCTGGCCCAACTGTTGATGCATATGACCAATTACTGTGGAAAATTTCTCAACCTTATCCAAGTTTATCATATGCATCTCACACTTGACACAGTTCCTCTAAANATATGGCTTTTTCTGTGACATTGCAAACAGTATGACTGAGATTTGAAGCTTTTTAAATAGGGCCTATGACTTCAGCACATGCTTGGCACATGCACATTGTCACTGGACCTCTGTGCTGTGGTTTGGATGGCCCAACTATAGCACTCCAATTGGGACGGACCCAATTATAGTTGGGACTGATTGGACCGTACAAGGCTCAAGTAAACTATGTGGGACTCAGGCTATGGCATAGGGCTGTACTAAATATCCAAATATTCGATCAATTATCAAATATTCGATTATTATTATTTTTCAAATTTGATTATTCAAATGCAAAATTGATCAAAAAGAAGGGAGAATTTCCTTTTTTAAATGAGAAAAGTCTCAGTGTGGAGGCTAGTTTCAAGCAGATTCCATACACTAAGGCAGCTGATATGCCAAACAGTTCAATATACATGTACAAATGTATACATGTACATGAACAAATGAAAAATCCATCCTAGAATATGGAAATAACTGTTAAAATTTGAATGTGCCAAGATGGTATTTTTTGTAATAATGATGAACTGTATCGATGCAACTTTGTTGAAATTTATATAATTTGATGAAACCTTCATGACAATATTTTAACTTGAAATAAAAGTGAAAAGCTATTATTGTAAAGGGAAATTTTGTGTGCTATTGCAACTGATTTTGTATATAGTTTGTTCATCAACAATCCACCGGCCAGTACGATCAAATATTCAAATATTTGATTGAATTGAAGGTCGAGTATTTGAACAGTCATTTATTTGAATTGATTCAGTTCTAAGGCCTAAACCTTTTGTACAACTGATGTTGAAATTTAACTTGAATTAAACTACACGTAGGTCTAGGGCCTAACAAAGAAAAGCCTCTCTGCCAGGCACCAGCAAAAGTTATGTGTGGCCCTTGGACATGTTGGACAAGTGTTTCTTCGTAATGTTTGTTACTCAGTTAAGTTACAAAAGCCAGAAACCGCACACCCAGGAACACAAATATTCAAACTTCCCAATTCAAGTCAAAGGCTCCTGCTGCTGTGAAATACATGTACATGTACTACTAGCTCATGGTGTGCACGAGGTAGGCCTATGTGCCTTTAACTTAACTGAGTTTCTTGAAAGTTGCGGTAAACACCAGCACGGGCTGGCGAAAAGAGTTGTGTACATGTACATGTAACAGCATGATCAGACAATCTTCCAGTATGACTTACAAACTACCAAAGCAATGTCTGTACTGTTTCCTTGCTTTACGATTTAATGAAGAAACACTTTTTAGGAATGAAAAGTTTCAAGTTTTCTTGGAAAATATTTTGGCCAATGCCTACTATTTACCGTGGCCGATAGACGTCATGCAGGAGCCTATTCAGCCTAATGTGTCTAAGGGGGGGGCTAGATTGTGGAATTCTTGCCAACACTTTATATTTTACGGGTTTTTTGGCCCTTACCCAGCGTATGTATTCATAAACACTGTATGCTCAGTGGTTGTCCGAGAGCTTGAGAAAAAATTCATGAGCTTGCTCGGGTGGGACTCGAACCCACGACCTTCTGCTTACTGGTTGCAGACGTCTTAACCACTCGACCACCGAGCTTGCAGGGTTCGGCTGGCCGGTCCAAGTCTTGCCAACACCCCATCCCCACTTTCCTTTCTTTCAGGCATTGGTACATTGTACGTGTAGCTTGCAGGCTTAGGTTCAAGTCATTTTCTCCCTCTGTGCACAGATCAATGGAGCAACCGGGTCAACTACAGTCGATCTTCGCAGGCTTAGTCTGCGGGGTGGGGTTCACACTCCTGCTGCTCTTTTGGAGGACCGAGCGGAGTGCAGGCAGGAGAAAGTTTAAGAAACGAAAACTGGGCAAAGCTGATGAGCCCGTAACTTACAACCTCAGGGCTGGCCAGGTGATTTAATAATAATGCATTAGGAGAATTTCGGAAATTAGGGGTCCAAAAGTGTGACCTTTTTTTGTCCCTGTTACACCTGATATTTGTTCTTTGACATGGAAATATCACTGGAATCGATTTCAAACTGTCACCATTTGTTTGGTAGGTAGTTTGCATTAATTCATCACTCTTGAAAATTGGAAAATGTGTTTTGAACATACAAAATCATATTTCAGATATGACAGGGACATGAAAAATAATGGCCCCCAGTTTCTGGAATTACCCGTAAATAAATGTAGGCCTGTCATTTCTGTGGAATAGATAATTATTGGACTGATGAACAGACAATGCTTTTGCTGTTGACCCAGCACAGCAACTGGACATACGTAGTGAGTGTTTTCACGAGACTTTGACTTCACAATTTTGCTGTGACAAATCTTTATCTAGGTCCTTGTATCGTCCTTGTGAATTCACAACGTGGAAGTCACTTGAGATCTTGTTCATTGTTGAATTTTATTGCCTTTAAAAAATAATCCTCCGGAACCACAGATGAACCAAAAAGAAAGTGAAATATCCCGCAATTTAACGTTAGGTTCAGTAGATGTTATTCATGGGGGAAGCCATTTTGATTGTGTTACCAGAATCTAATTCATTCAATTTAATTTCTAATTGGAGTGGTGCCAGACTCACTTTCATTTTTTTTAATAAGGCGCAAATGTAATGGCTCAAGACCAGGTCCTGAGCATTTCAGTGTTAACAGCCAAGTTTGAGGTTGCAATTTATTTTTTATGAAGATTTTTCTTCTTCATTCTAACTTCAATGTGAAGCCAACTTTTATGATGCAGTGAAAAGTACATTTGCCATGAGGTAACAAACTACTAAACAGATACATGTACATTGCAAGTTTGATACACCTGTACCTGTACTTGAATTGCAAGTACTGGATAGGAGTAGGGAATGATGCCCTGGGTAACTATCCTTTCAAGGTGGAAAATTCAATTCAGCTACACGTAAGTTGCTTTACATGTACATGTTATTTTAAAGAGTGCTTTTGTTCTTGGCACAGGGAGGACCAGCTCTTCGTGGAAAGATTGCCAAACTTGGATTGTGGCTTGTTAATTCGGTAGGTACATCTTTAACTGAAGTATCGGCTGTCAATGGACATCTCAAGGGGTGCTCCCCCTCCAAAAAAATTGAAAAGTAATGAAGTGGAAAAAGTGAAAGAAGTAAAACAGAAGTGATAAAAGGGGATGAAAATCCCTATTAAAAACAGTCAGAATTCATCTCCTCCTCTGTTAATGGTTTATAAGTTCGCTGCTGTACTTTACCCCCACCGGAAAAAATGGTTTGTCCCCATTTTTTCCCCCTCCCCAAGAAAAAATCTAGGCATTGCCCATGTCATCATGGTATTGTTTGTCACCGGAGTTGAATAGTCAATAAAACTGTGTCCAGGATACCATAAGGGTACCCAAGCTACCACCGGAAGATTGGCCCAGGCTTGGCCCAGGGGTGGCAAATCCGGCATAGGTTGGCCCAGTCGTACCAATTAACCTAGGGCCAACGCTGGTGTCATTTCCTGAATTATGATATTAATTAATTTGTCCTTAATTATAATGTTCCAAATTGAAAGTGAAGGTTTGACATATAGTGCACATCCTGTTTTTCATTAGAGAGGATCAATGCAATGCAATGCAATTTATTTTATCACAACCCTTGAAAATGCAAAGCTTTCTGTTTCAGTTAATCATATACCCTGTTACTATTTGAAAAGTATTTTGGTTCCCTTCAGAATTTTCCATATTGCTGAACATAATGGTGATGTCATTCCAGGAAGAAAAATTCAGGCTGCACTGATGTGTGCAGACCTGTCCCCCTTTCCTTTTCCTTTGGGATTCATTGGTGGGTAAATTTACATGGCAATAAGTCGACAAGCTCCTCTTCAGTAAAGTGCTCTGCGAGCAAATTTTGGTGTCACAATTTCAACAGCAAAACCTATACTCTTAACGGAGTCTTCCCTGAATGACATCACAGCTACAGTGCCTGAGTTGTCCGGAAAAGCACAGAATAATATGTCAATTGTGTTTGAAAAAAGTGCACCTTTGAATCTACTGCCTCTACCGTTCAAAAGCACTGCCACAAGCATGCATACTGCATAATTTGTCGCTTCCTGAAGTGAGTAATAATGTTAAGGTCATGTGATGTACTGTTCATTAAAGCCATCTTTTACTTTCTGTTGCGAGCTAGACTTGATCAAGTCCGGATTCGCTGTGAAGTTTGTCTTCATAAACGCTTATGCTTTGGCTGTTGAGGTTTTTTAATGCTGCACGGTGTTATTTTTTTCATGTCCTCTTGTGTCCACTGTTACTGTGAGTTGAGAAATCCCAAACGATGAATCTGTCATTCGTTTGTACACAGCGATTGGGCTCATCTACCAAAAGTGGTAGCAGCCAATCACTTTGCCAGACTTATTTTTGCGTTGTTCATACTTGCGTTATAATGAACAAGTCTGACACGTTTCATTGGTTGAAATTTCAAGTCTGACTACATGTACTTTGATTGGTGGAAATTTCGATACACAATGCAGGACCATAACGTTCATATGCAATTATAAATGACGAATTTCACCAATGGGGGGTTCGATTAGCTTATCTGTCAAGTTGCACTTATTGACTGATGACGTACATGTATAACACACGTTGTACAATAAAGGCTTTCAAACGAGGTGCCGTATAAGGGTTATGCGAGCGGTCTGCTGAGCGCAATGACCGTGTGCTGTGTACTGGCTGAAGGGATGGCTGACTGGGAAGAGCAACGTAAGTCTGACTTGATTCAAGTCTAACTGCAAGCAGGATGCAGCTGTTCTGTTTCGGTTCCGCTTTAAAGCACACATTGTCCCGACCATCATATCCCGCTTTTTGCATGAGCATTTTTACAAATCTAGTGATGATGCCATGCACATCTCCATATTTTATCAGTACAATATTTGGGAAAACTCCCCTCCAATGCAGTTGCGTTGTGACATAGCTGCTTTGAGAACGACAGGGATCGTGAGCCTGTTTTGTGATGTTTATACACGTACATGTATACACAGCTTGCATGTCTGCATGTCGATTCATGGTTAACAGTGATGTTTCATCCTAATTTGCACATACATGTACAGGTCCACCCAACCCTGACATATATATACTTGTGGGTTATTTCCTTTGTTCTCGTGTACAAAACTCCCACACAACACGGAAGAAATTTCAAATCACTGGCATTTCAACCAAATTCAGTTTCCTGGGTTGACATTTCAACCGTAAGTCCCTTATATAAAACACTTCAATTTGTGACAGATGAATGGCACTTGAAAATTCCTCCTTTTTGAGTAAATTTGAAATATCTATTTCCTACCACTTTAGTACCCCACAAGGATCAAAGCTGGTCCAGTGGGGTACCTTCCATTGTTCCCGTACCCTACAAGGCACCATGTACAAGCGCATACTACTTAAGAGTGTAGCAAAGAACAAACACCAAATATTATATTGTTTACATATATGTGATGTGATCTGGGAAAGCCCTTCACATTAAAATTTGTCATTTTAGTGTACGTAATTCATGAAGACCCCTTGCTGTTGTCAAAACTGTTTTATACCCAATTCTAGGATGTCTGTAACTGGCGTTATCAGTGTGTTTTCACAATCAATTTCAAAGTTCCAACGTTTTATTGAGCTTGCACAAAAACAAACGGAACATTGCAAATATTTACATATAAAACATAAACTAACAATTGAGACATTACTGAAAAGAATGGCAGTAAAACATCAAATTTTCTGCCCAAAATCTCAAGGACTAGTTTTATTTGGTAAGGTGACGTGTTTGAAGGGATTTTGCAGATCATATCCCATAGTTAGCCAACATTCTATTGTACAATACGTGTTCTCCTCATGTTACCGTATTAACTGTCTGGTTTTTTTATACCTCTAGTATTTTGGCAGGGTCAGCGGATTGAAGGACTATCTTATGAAGTGAGTAGCTTTCTCTACTTTCCAATTACCATCCATGCCATCTGGCACTTACAGGTGTTTGTGTACTTTGCGTCACAGGTGTTCATTTTAATTACGGGTTTTGCTGGTACATTGCTATAAAGCATGACCTTTTCCACATTTGTGCACCAATTTTTATCTGATTTTGGCCAGTCAGGTTTTATTTCATGAATGTTGACATTTAGGGACGTTTGAAAACAGCTGGTCATGCACATTGAAATAAATGTTCAAATTGTGGGCGAATTTGTTTAAAATTGCCTAAAATCAGGGCAGATTTCTGGGGAATAAAAACCATTGGCACGCTGAGTTATTTCCTTAAAACTAATACGACAACTGTGCATTCTTTTATGCAAAACTGACTGTAAAGCAAATTTGCCTGGTGGCATCGAGTGTCACATGTGAAACATCTGTTGTTATATGACAAGTACCAGTACATGCACCGGTATGTCGCAATTCTGGTGCCAAAAATGGACTTGCCTACCCTGACATATGATTTTTTAAGTTCAGAACACATTTTCTAATTTCCAAGAGTGATGAATTAATGCAAATTACCTGCCAAACAAATAGTAATAGTTTGAAATCAATGCTGGTGATATTTCCATGTCAAATAGCAAAGGTCAGATGTAACAGGGACACAAAAACGTTACACTGTCGTACCCCTAATTTCTGGAAATACCCATATACTGGAGCATGTAAACGATATTTTGTAGCATCTTGACACTATTTCATGTGTCCTGCATTTACAATGGCCTTTTTTTATATTTGACTGCACGTACAAGCAGGGTTTCTTTTGGGATTGAAATATACTACCCATCTTTTCTCATGCAGTGGTTAAAAATTGCTCGTCCACTCCCAGCAAACTTTTTGGGCTGTTGACCCTTGGTGCTACTTGAGCCCATATTTCCATTGTGCAGAATGCTCGGGGATGGCAGTATGTGTAAGATTATCCACCAGTGTCAAAGATTTGTGAAAAATAAATCTTATCTGTGAATGGGGGATTTGCAACTCTGTGCAAGCAAAAACTGCCTGTCCTACAGAATATTTACCTGTTGTCAGGGGAGGGATGAAGCCTATGTGCAGTACAAGGTTCAGTTTATTGGAGTCATCAAACAAAGCAATCTCTTGCCTGTTGTGCCATTAAATCCAGTTAAAGAGTGGTTCACTATTTCAGCTGCCGGGAACATTGAGCTCGGGGCAAAGTGTGTCATTTAGGCTTAAAGCTCTGTACAAGTCTGGAATGCATGATTGTCACAATGTTACAAAATGGACTCTGGCAAAGCTTGGGTTTATTAATTCCGAAGAGATTTATAGTATGCTTTGTGGGGAGAATTGGGGTAAAAAGTCATTTCCTGACAGGTGCTTTTCGTTTGCTCAAAATGTGTTGTGTAGTGCATGAATGTTTTTGAGCCTCTTTGACATGAAATATTCAATTATTCGAATTTGAATATTCAAATGCAGAATTCATGGAAAAGGAGGGGCTTTTTTTTTTAAATGAGAAGATTTCACTTTGGAGACTTGTTTCTAGCAGATTCCAGACACTTGAAGGCAGCTGATGTACCCAGCAGCCCAATATAGAGTCCATTCTGGAATATGAATGTGCCAAGACAGTATTGTTTGTAGTAATGATGTATTGACTTTAAATAAAAATGAGGCGTTATTATAGTGATTCTGATGTAAAATTGTGTGCGATAATGCAATTGATTTTGTATATGGTTTGTTCAAAAATCTGCTGGCCGGTACAACTGAATATTTGAATATTTAATCGAATTGAAGGTTGAATAATTGAAAAGTCAAGCCTTAATCATGGCATAACTGAATTTTTTCATTTAATTAACCTTAAAATTTCTAAAATCCAGAGCCTTCCAAATCTGAGTGCAGACTTTTGAAGACTGAGGAAAGCTGGAGGCTGGCCACTAGTATTTTGCATCTGGGTTTGATGTCCTTTGAAGTTCAAGGAAGTACTATTGGTTCTGTTCTCTAAGGAGGAATTTTGGAGGGTTCTGGAATGTTTTAGCCTTTAAAAAGTCTTTAATTATGGGCCATCTGATAAGATGGAAATTAACATAGTCACCTTAAGTGCTTCAAAAATTTTTGTTTCTCAGACAGGGAAATGTGTTTTTCTTTCGAGACATCTTGATGGAGGACCCACCCACAGTGTACCCTCTGATTGCTTGGGAGAGGCAGAGAGAGGATGGGAGCGGGGGTGGGAATGGTGGTAGAGTAGACCTGGAGCCCCTGCTGGTGAGCGAGAATAAGAGGCAGGAATCAGACTTCCGCTTCAGAGAGATAAAGGATTACTACGATGGATACAGGTGTGTGGAACAGGTGTTGATGACTCAAATGGGGATAAATCAGTGTTCAGAGTTTATTATGAGGAAGAGTTTTAAGATACATGTTTGTGAAATGCACGTGGAAAATAAAAATGCAAGTTTCCCATGCAGTGCAAATTATCTCATAAAAAATGTGTTTTGCATTCTTCAATGAGATGAAATGAGTTTTTGTCAAGAATAAATTCAGCACTTCTTCAATTAAAAAGGAGGTCAACATTGAAACACAGAATTAGTACATGTAATTTTGATTTCCGTACGTAGGTTTGGATTAGTTATTTGTTACGTTAACTCAAGTATGTTTTTTATTTATTGCCAGCAGATCTGTAAAGTACTTTCGTACATGTATAAGGCCTTTCTATAAAAAGAAGAATAACAGTTTTGGAAGGAGTTACCTGGAGATGTATTAATGTTAAAGGAGTTTTGATGTGTTTTTTTCGGAGTGGGTGTTTGGTTATAATTTTATATTTTCATTTGACATAATGTGCATATTTTGTGTTTTAGATCTGGTAAGTTAACTCCAAGCAAGGTAGCAGAGAACATAATTGCTGCTATTACAAGGTCAGAGAACATGGAGCCCAAACTCAGGGCGTTTATAGAGTACAACACCGATGAAATCCGCAAGGTGAGTAAACAAAAATTGGCATTTTGTCTGATCAAACTCTGTTTAAGTACAAATAACGAAGCACAAACTCTGCTGTTGGTTGGCATCAGTTCCAATCCAAACAGATCTAGCTATGTAAAATTTACTTCTTCGCTGATTCTTTTCTGTTAGGCAGCTAGAGAGTCAACTGAACGGTTTTCCAACAAGCAACCACTTTCAGTCCTGGATGGCATACCAATTGGTGTTAAAGATGAGATTAGGGTGGTGAGTTTTTTATTTGCCATTAGCCTATGACACTGCCCAGGGTTTAATTTTACAGAGCTTCTAAGCAGAAGATATTGCTGTGGAAAATGGCGGGGAACCATGGCCAGCTGGTTCAATGCCATCATATGTTGCGTGGCATTTTAGCTGGTAACCAGTAGTCTCTGAGCAATTTTTTTCCCATCAGAAAAAAGATATATGTATTTACACTCTTGAGTGAATGAAAGTATCTGAAAATTGCTCCAAAACAAAACTTAACGAGGAGATGTCAGGTTGGCGTTACTCTTTCCCCACCACTCAATTCTGCATTCTTGGTTTAATTACTGAGTTGATCAACATTATAGATTGGGCATTTAGTCCATACCTGATTTCATCGGTTTCATCAAGCACATTCCCCTGAGATTTTCCTGCTACCTCTAAAATTGTAACAGCTTCTCATTGTCTCCTCTCTACAGGTTTCTCAAGCTTGTATTAAGCTGCAGTGCCTGAGGCACATTTGCAGAATCATTGGTTTTATAACATGAAATGCTTAATGGTAATAATAGCATTAATGCATCAGAATCTCTAACAGTGCTTGTCATCTTCAGGAAAACTGTACATCTATATTGGGTGCTTGCATCATGTGATCAAAAGTAGAGCTCTAGCACATGGTTCTGATGCACTGGTTTTTACAATGCAAGCATTCCATATGCCTTGGAACAACTACTTCATGTCAGATGATCTATTCAGTAAAACAAATGAAGGGGTTTATTTTCAAGTTCCCAGAGCCAGGAAAAGTTGAGTATTCAAGCCCCGGTGGGTAATTTATGCAGCAAATTTTAGATGAGCAGTAGTGCCTTGTTTTGCGAGACTCTGCCGTTGTTCCAGCTCATTGGTTTGTTGGAAAGGGCTTGATTTGTTGTCATGTGGTCTGCTCCTAGGCTGGGCATCACCTGCGACAGGGGTCAACTTTCATGGGCCAATCTGTCAGCGAGGAGGACGCAGTGGTCATCAGCCGGCTCAGAGCTAGTGGTGCCGTCATCGTGGGTGTGACAAACATGCAGGAGAACGGCATGGGAACAACCGGAATCAACATCAGCAAGTAAAGCCCCACCGAATGTTCCATTAAAAAAGAGTTACAAGTTCAAGAGAATAAACTTACCTTGACAAAAAGTGGAGTGACTTGGAGTGTCCTCTGACGTGCTTTGCGATTATGAATCACACATCTCCCTGGTTTGTTTTTCTATGACTGGCCATTAAAGTGTTTAGTTTTTCAGATCAGCTGAACCGTGCTTTTCATGTCATTCTGATTTTTTTTTGTGTTAAAAGATAAAGGTATTAATCTGCTTTTGATGTTTGCATCAAATGAAAAAACTCAGATTCTCGGTTCAAGTTAAATGGCTCTTGATCCATGTCCCCGATTTTCAAAATGATTTGAAGCATGTCGATACGGAGTTCAAAGGCCAAGGCCACACAGGTGGAACAGGTGAGAGAAATGACTGGGGTGGTGTTTTTTACTTCAGGTACCATGGGACACCTCGTAACCCATACAATGTGAATCACTTCACTGGTGGAAGCTCTAGCGGCTCTGCGGCTGCCGTTGCTGCAGGTACAGACCAAAACTTCCTGTTCTAAACTTCTGTCATTGACAGTTCAAGAGATAAGGCAACCATTACTTCAAGCCTTGTGTCTTTTTGTGTTTTTATCATCAAGGTATGGCACTAGAGACGATCAGTAGTAACTCAAGTTTGGCCCTAAAGTGACCCACCAGCAAAACATGCTTAGGTTGTAAAGTACACCACATTGGCCTTAATCTCACAGTGCTGAAAATAGAGACAAATCCTCGCCGGGTTTGCATGGTAATAAGAACCGGTTGATATTTACTGTCATGAAACATTTTAAATAGTACATGTTCCCTGTTTTTTCTCCAATAGCTAAACTTTCTTCAACTGGTCAAATGTTCGCAGGGGCACAATTATGTGTATTTTTTTCAGTTATAAGTCATGTACCTGTAGGTTGATTTTGTTTCATTGCTGCAATGTGCAAGCCAGCATTCCGTTGTGAATTCACAGAGTCTTTCATTATTCACCCTAATTCTGGGACTAGGACCGTTTTTAATTCTTCAAAACTCTCCTAAGTGCAGGAATCTGATGACATGTTGACTTCTTAAATTCTCAAGGGGCAACGCAACCTCCTGTAAAGAAATGATTGTGAGGTTTCATCTTTCATTATCCTTCAAATTCTTGCAAATGTCAGGGTAGATTCTGAAAGGTTTATGAAGTGTCAGGATTAGTGACTTGTAAAGCCCACATTCACAGTCTATTTGTTTATCCCTCCTCCTGTTTCCCCACCCCTTGTCTTCTCCCCACCCCTTGTCCTCTCCCCACCCCTTGTCTTCTCCCCACCGTCACACAGGACTGTGTCCGGTTGCCATGGGTACAGATGGCGGTGGCTCGGTTCGCATACCTTCCGCCTTTTGCGGGGTGGTGGGCTTCAAACCAACATTTGGCCGGGTCACATGGCAGGGGTCCCCCATCACGTTTACCACCGTAGCTGCTCAGGGCCCGCTCTGCACCAGTGTGAGGGATGCTGCCATCATGTACGGTCAGTACTTTAATTGTCAGTTCTTTTGATCGAGTATAGTCTAATTCATGCAATGCCATATCAGCAGTTGAAGTGCATTGACGCAAACACTAAAAGGGCGGATCCAAAACTAAATTTTCGGGGGTGGGGATGGGGCCACATTTTAGGGCTTTTTGGAAAAGAAAAAGATCTGCAATAATGCAAAAAAAATCACATTTTTCTCCTGCCCTCCCCATGGAGCCGGCCTTGTCTTCTACTAACATTAGGCACAGACATTTGGGTGACAACACCCTACTGGTCAAAGCACGGACCATTTACCCAGGGATGTGCAACCGCAAGCGGCCCGGTGCAAACACATGTGCGACCTTGGTTCCATGCGTGTTACGGATTGTTATTACCCCCGCAGGCGCTCTTGACTTTCTCAAAAAAACTCGCGACCACATGACACGCGTTGCAGCATGCAGCATGTACAGTGCAGCCGTGGTTATGCCGAGATGGCGCGCCGACACGATGCTTAAATCTATTCGTTTTGACAAAAAATTCTTCTTCACTTATCGATTTCAAGGACGAACAAAGTTTTAATGAGGCAAAATTCCCCAATTTTGTGGTATACTTTTCTCAGAATGTATAGGATGAAACATCTTGAGCAGCATATTTTTAGAAAGGATGCACCCCGACTTAAAATACTACAAGAAAACAAAGTGGTAGACAGGAATGTATGTTTTATTATTAGAGAAAGTGTTACATAATCCAATTTAATTTCTGCTTTGATATTGTGCCAGCCGCAACACGCACCGAACCAGCTCTGAGCTTGAGTTGCACATGCCTGGGTAAATGGTCCGTGGTCAAAGTGACAGTCGTCCCGGCCATGCAACTTTTGTGACTTTTGGGCTACTAATTCTAATCTGTAGCCTTCTCCATCAGTGCCCTCCTCAGTGAGGGTTATCGACTTGTCCTGAAAACCATCGAGAAAGTTAGGGCAAAGGGCCCCAAAAAGGAGCGAATTAGTTATTCAAAAGCCTCCGCACAGATCCTTTACAAAAATGTGCTGTATCAAATTGGAGTTGGCCAACCAACTTTGGCAAGCTTTGTATTCAGGTGTTAAGGAATGTCCTTAATTAGGAGGCCTATACGTTAGGTTCAAGTGATGGTGGTGTTACATACCAGCTCTTGTACAGCACTGATGATGAGTTTACCATGCTCTAAACATGTCATTGGTATACATGTACATGCTCACAGATGAATGACTGTGTAGCTGGTTTACTTTCATGTCTTTGCCGCTCATTCTAGTTTGGTTATTTTGGGGTGCTTTTTGTCCTACGTATGTTCAGAAGAGCAAAAGCTGAATTAGTTTTGTTGTTTTTTTTCTTTTCCTAGCCGTGATATCCGGGATTTCTCCTTGTGACAAGTATCCCATGGTGCCTCCCCCCATGGATCTGGACGGATTTAATGAGTCTGACCTGAAGGGCTTACGCCTGGGAATCGACAAGGCTTACTTCAAGGTCTCAATTTGTCATTTTCTTGTCATCTGTGCCATTCATTGTCCATGTCATGGTCCATGCGTTTGTCCATCGTCCTCGTTTCTTGTCCTGGTTCCATGTCTTAATCTCTTGTCCTTGTGTCTTTTTCTTTGTCGTCCCTTGTTGTCCTTGCCTCTTTTCTTGGTCTCCTACCGTCATCCTTTGTCGTTATCTTTTGTCCTCATGCCTTGTCCTCCTTTCTTGTCCTATTCCATTATCCCTGCCCCTTGTCCTCGATCTCCATGCTGCAAAGCTGTATGCAGACATGGCGGAAAGACATTTTTCTGTCCTCCTTGAAGTAACTCGTACGCACGACTTACAAGTTGTATTTGGTAAGTTGGACTTGCATCTTATACAAACAGGTTAAGATTTGTAAGTCACATGTATGATACGTGTATGTATGTCGTACATGTGACTTATAAATTGAATGTTATCAGGGAATCACAGTAGGTTTCACAAAAGAGGAAGTCCAATAGAATCGCAGCTTCATTTCTCAAATTTGAAAATTCCACTTTTGTCCATAGTTTTTTCTGCTGTTTTCAATTTTCTCAAAATTTATGTGACCTTTTGATCACTTGACTTATGCTGTTCTGTAGAAGTCTGTTGCTGTACCTGGGACTCAGAGAGTCTTTTATTTTGCACTGTGATATCTTTTGAAATCTCTTGCTGTTGCATGGCTAATGTGAATATGTAAACGTGTTCTTTCTTCTTTAGCATGCTGATCCAGAAATTGTGATTTGCTGTGAAAAAGGTATGTTAGTGATTTCATTTCTGGGAGTTCACAGTGCCATGATTTTTTTTTTCATTGGGAAAGATGGGATTAGACTGTGCTGAACATACACATCTGAAGATGAGCTATGCAAACATGCTGTTGCTTTGTGACAGCAAAGCAGCTCATCTTGAAAATAAATGCTTTTTTTTTTTTCAAGAAAACCAAGTTTGAAGTTTAAAACAGTTCCTTTTGTGTGAAAGTGCAGGCTTGGAGCCAGGACACTGTATGGATGATAACATTAAGCAGGGAGTTCAACATTCATTTCAAAGTGATTTAGTGGGAAAGTTTGGTAAACTTCCCTAATTTTTCTGGGAAACAGTTGTGTCCACATTATCCCAAAGACCATGCATTTTGCCACATTTTGCATATCACAAAAACCTTATGCTGCATAACTGTAAGTTTCAAATGGAACTTAGACTCCCTAGGAATGTCCTTATCTCAAATATCCTATTTCTAAGTTGCAGTGTTGCCACTCTTCATGTTAAATTCTCAGCATAATTAGAATAAAGTACATGTATTCATCCTTTCCATATTTTCTTTGACTTGTTGATCATATGTCCGGGCAGCCATTTTGTCAGGCATGTTCTTGATGGTAGTTCCGGGGACAGTATAGTATCTAGCTCTGCCATTTGAAGGAGAGCACAGGCCCCAATAATGGCCAAGCACTGGTCAAATTTCTGGGGTCCACTTCAAAAACAGTAAATATTTGGTTCACAATCCTCGAGTTCAAATATTCAAAAAGTAACAAAGTATTGTCAAAATTCCAGGGTCCTCATTGTTACAAATTTGGATGTGTAAAGTACTTTCCATCGGCTTCTTAACAAAGTGTGTGCTTCGCAATAACAAGTTTTCTCATAGTCCATGGGTCTTCAATTTTACTCAAATTGTCAAATTTCCGTTGTCTCCTGATGTGTACCAAATTTATTTTTGTTTTTTGTTGTGCTTAGACTGGACCTGAGCATTATTTACTAAGTCCCAGAGTGTTCGCACAATAAAGGAACTCAATATACTTTTTTGTCCATCAGCTGTGAGGTTCTTGGAATCCCGCGGAGCTGAAGTGGTCAGTATACAGATTCCGGAGCTGGAGGAGGCGAGAACGGCCCACCTCCTGACCATACTGTCCGAGATGAGATTCAACCAGCAGGAATCCTTCTGGAACCAGCTCGACGAGCAGGTAGGTGGGTGCTGGCATTCAGCATGAAAAAAAAAAAGTAAATCATTGACAAGGCCACGAGGGAAGTCTGGGTGCAAGACACTGTTTTCTCGATGATATTGTGGTGCACCAGTACCTTTTTTTGCACTGTTTGTCAGCAAATCTCCCAGGCAAACCAATCACACAATATTCAAGGAGGGGGTCTTCTCAGGGGTGCAGGAAGCTTTGGTCCTCCCTACCCCGTCCCCACACCCAAAAAAAGGTCCCCCCCTTTGACCCACTCTTCCGAATTCACCAGCGATGGTACACAGGTCAATGTCATACAGTGTACATTTAGCTCTGGTGGCAAAGCAAACGGCATTTCCTCCAATTTCATATTTATTTTGTGAAAACTTCATTTGTTTTCTCTTCGATACCGTAAATTCGCTGTTAATGAGGTGGAACTTGTCCACAGAGGTCAATCCTGGACATTATTCTCTCTGTGCTGCGCGTTTCCAATGCATGGGTATTGACCCAACAATCGCCTGTAAGAGTCACAGCATTTCTGTGCCTGTCCTTCTTTTGAATACGCTAATGTTGCCCAGGCACTAGTTTCTCTCCTGTTTTGTTCAAAACCTGTCGTAAAAGTTTTTTCAGCTGTGTCAAATAAAAGGAATGGAAATTTAACAATCTCCCTCGAGCCCTTTCAACCAAGGTGGTACGTACATATTACCATCTCCCCATTGAAAAAACCTGTCAGAGGCCACGCATTTCTTACTATTTTTAACAAACAAGAAAAACACACCTCACATTCTTGGTCTGAGGTCCCTGAGGTTTTCATTAAAGTTCTGTGGTCACTTTGTTGACTGAGAGGATTGTCTGGGGCATCGGTGTGCAGGAAAGACGTGTTCCTAGGGTTTAACGCATTGTGTAAACTACCAGTGGAAACCTACCAAATGTTGAGAATTGAAATCATTCAGGCTTACACAACCATCTCCGAGGTTTGAAATGCATAAAACAATAAGAGATGTTGAAATGAATTGTCAGTCAGTGCATACACGGAGGTCCATTTACAGTGTAATCTTGCTCTGCTGAGTATTGGACTCTGCCAAAGCATCACCTTATAATGCAACAGAGAGAGAGACAGTGTTCAAAATGAACGTTAATTGATATGAGATCAATAATTTTCTCATTCTTAACGTTTGCTTTTGTAGTTTTTGGTGAAGGATATTGATTTTTCGGTTAAGGTTTTATGTCTGAAAATGCTTTCTGTATTAAAGCTAACCACGTACATGTACTGTATTATGTACATGACATAATCACAGCTATGACTTTAGGATGGTTTTAATATTGCATGTGTCAAAGTGCACTGTGTCACAGGAATCCATCACTAAACGTTGATGGATATCAAACCCCCTATCTTTTTAGCTCTTGCTTTTGATGACAAACAAAGACCGCCATTTTGTATATGGAGGAAGGACACAGAAGGAGTTACAACTCTGGCCTATCGAAGTGCTCGATGGTCATCGCCGCCCGGTCAGCGAACAATAATAAACATTCCAAAATGCCTGATTACTGCCTGCAGCTCAGCCGGACAAGTGGGGCCAGTAATATCGTAGCAATATTTGGGATGTTTTCTCGACAATTAACTACGATTTTTTTCTTTAGATTGTGATAGACTTTTCCATTATCCATACAATGATTGTAATTTTATTTTGTCACTCCAAAACAGCAGTTTTCAAAGTCTTTGTACGACTAGCCAATAACATGCACTACCACAGGACAGTTCAGTTCACTAAAACAAAATGGTCTGTTTCTGCACAAGGAGTGATCATGATATTTCATAAAATACCTGTTTGTGTGAATGCCGTAATAAAAATGCTTCAAATAAAACACCAACTTTTATAAACAACTTGGCTATTTATTTCCAAAATAAAGTCCACTCCCAGAAGAAAGTGTTCGATAAGGGCAATAACTGCACCTGAACACTTCGGGTACACAGCCTAATCAAAGCAAGTACGCAAGCGTTAAATTTGATGTTGTCAGATCCTACCAAGCACCAACGATGACATGAATATTCAACTTCCTATACTGCAGTACACGACATGTTATGGATGCAGATTACCAACGAAAAAATTGATGACCATAGGGTACAAAGGGGGCTTGTGGTTGGTAAAACAGGTGTTGCGTAGCAAGCGCTCATTTTGCTCTGGCTATGGACGTACCCAGGCATGCCAGAAAGGGTAATTGGCCAGATTCTATCATGGTGCTATTTAATAGCTCCATGATGTTATAGCCCGGGCAGTTCAAACTCCTTTTGTGCCCTTCATCCGTGACTATATGAGTGGCCATAGTTTGCCAAATTATTGTTTTTGGTTTGGTACTCATGGCCACCCATAGTTTTGCCAAAGGTCAATTTACTTACTGGATAGCACATGGAGGCCGTCTTTGTTTTCCCAGTTTTTTTCCAGACCAGCCAGGTAAAAATTTCACATAGGCCGGTTACGGCGGGTATGTTGTCTCCCTGATGTCGCTCAGGAGATTTGTTGTCAAGATATTTAGTTGATGTTCCCCGATTGAAAGTGGCATTAAGACTTCATTTCTGATCAACGGAGAAAAGGGTGACAAAAACGCCTGCGTTCCTGCACCGCTTTTGTTGGACCCGAAATCTGAAACTTTTTCATTTTATCTGGTCAGGCAATTTGATTGGTTTGGTAATTGCTTATTTGCGAACAAGTTAGTTTTAGTTTTCATTCCTGTGTGTTATACCATGGAGGTAGAATACCTCCATGGTTATACACGTATCAAGTTCTCTCTGCAATGCCATTCAGTTTTGCCGAATTCTTATGTTTCAAAATATCCGGCGTCTCGTCTCTCAAAGAGACAGTTTAAGCACGAGATACAAGGAGATCATACATATATTTTGGGGGTTGACTATGAAAAAATCCTTGAGGTCTGCCAGCTTATATTTATAGGTGAACATGCGCTTGAGTCAGTCAGTTTTGTGAGATTATCTGACTGTGCAGGCGTCAAGACAGGCTCGGGCATTACGCCCGGATCAAGTATTCACCTGTCTGCATTTGAAATTTCTTTAATCCCCGTGAGCTAAATGTCAGTTTGCCGGTCCCTTTTTATGTGAATTGGCATATGCAAAAAACTTATATTGCTGTCTGGGTCGTTAGAAACCAAGCTTTTATTGCCTTTCAGCTGGAAACAAAGAAATACACTATTCTAAGCACCTGCGATAGGAATCTGAAAAAGTAGAAGGTACTTAGCAGTTTCTTTGTGACGTAAGAAGTTCTTCCCGCGCGCTTCATCAGCCACGAGTGGAGGCGAAACTGCGGCAGGTACTCATTAAAATGCCAGCTAACCCAAAGGAATTCCAAGTTGAATGTGCGGGTCCCATTGTGACCAAAGAGGGACGAGCGGCTGAGCTCTGTATTGTTCCACCGTAGGTTCATTATCCCAGCTCGGTGTGGGGGTTTAGCACTGTGAGGGTTTAACTTGAAAATCGGCCCACGGGAGCCGAGAGCAATCAGAGTGCCGGTGACCTAAATTGATCCTTTGAGAGCTCTCTCAATTCACGAATGGGATCTTTAAGGGTGTGGAGAAGTCATGTCACCCCCCCCCCCATCGTGTTGTATAAGCTAAGAGGCTTGCGTCACTTGGGTGAACTGTTGTTCATCACGGAGCCTGACAGTTGAAGAGATTTCCGCAGTAGAGTCGTCTTTCTGAACTTGTTTTCATAGGCATATTTGATGTACCAAAGACTCTACTTGGTAGTTGCTGCACAAGTCATTCTAGAAGGATGAACGTTTCAGTACTGGATCCAGCGGGTTTATCATCAGCCCCGTCTTGGTCTCCATTTGGCGTCGCCCTCCGTACATCCATCATCGCCTTCCTCGGGGTAGTGAGCGTTGCTGGCAACAGCTTCTGTATCGCCGTGACTCTCCATGTCACCATCGCAGCTGACAGCACCAAAGTGCTGTTGGTGACGCGGGCCGTGTACGACCTGTTGGTCGGGGTCCTTGTGCTCTGCATGGCAGTCGTTTCCGCCTTGGACGAGTGGCCCTTTGGCCTCCTGGGATGCCAGCTGTTCACAGTCATTGTCCTCGCGATCTTCCTCATGTCGGTGTCATCCGTTGTTTTTCTCAATGTGGAGCGGTACATCGCCATCACCCGACCGTATAAGTTCCCCGTCTGGTGTTCGAGACGCCGCACCACCACCCTTGTGCTAGTTGCCTCGGCTGTCAGCTTGTGCATGGCCGTGCTCATGCTTGTTGCGGCAGGGATTTCAGTACAGTATTATCCGCCTTCAGGGTGCTGCTTCTTCGCGGTTGACAAATTCGCGGACACATTCAACCTGTTGCTCGTGGACTTGGTGCCTGTGGTGACGATGATTTGTGTCTATCGTCGCTTGATTCGAATCAGTCGGCGTCACATGGAGCGAGTGACCCGCCACGAGGCCAATGCCAATGGCCATGAGGATAAAGCCCTACGGTCCTTCCTTGTCGTCACCATAAGCTACGGCGTCTGCTACACGCCCTTCCTAATGACCAGAATATTGGAATCGTACGCCGGATCTATCATTCCACCGTGGTTCATGTTGTTTACAGTGGTGTTTGTATATTGCAACAGCACACTCAACGTGTTTATATATTGCCTCTTTAATCATTCCTACCGTCAGACTGCCAAGAAAATGGCGTTGAGGATGTTGAGATATTCTGCACATCAGATTGTACCGCTAAACACTTAAAGTATATAGACCAAATTCCAGTCACGTTGTCGCGCTCATGTGTGATGCACTCTTGAACTTGAGCATGCGCATTCTGGGATCCGTCTGCACGTGTGACTTGCGTGCGAGTTTTAAAGTAATGGTTTTAAGCTCTGAACGCCAAACTAGAATGACCATGGAGGTAGAATGACACGCGTCTAACTTCAGATTACAAGTGACACGTCAGATGCAGCCTATCTATCAAAAAGGTGTTAACAATGCATACGTGTGTATAGTTTCGTTAGGGTTATATATTGTCTGGCAGTACGGTGCACATGTTGCCCACTTTGATCATGTTATTGCCTTGAAAAAGCAACGTGGTACATTATATTAAATGTACAGGGGAACGCTACTATAACAAGGTTTTCCTTGGGACTTCATGGACAACCTTATAATAGTTGCCTTGTATTATTTGTAATGGAAAACAAACTTGCTTGTGATCTAAATATTTCCTTGCTATAGCTATGACTTTGTGTTTCAGTGCTTTTGTCTGTGTTCGACTGTACATTACTAAGAAGTGTGAAGAATGTAGAGGTTCTTGCCCTTAGGTTATAAATGTGTTATCTGTGGAACTTAAGTGTTGTTCAGTGTGACAAACCACCAAACGAGAATGTGCCATCAATGTGTCAAAATGTGATACCGACTGGTTCCGATTTTCTGGAGTATCGGGCTCCTTTTTTTGAATCAATTAGTTAGAAATTGCACAAATTGGGCCCCAAAAATTGCCAATGACTAAGTGTTATCTAAAGCATCTGTTGGGCACGAATAGTAGATTTGCATGATTGCTGAAACTCATTGCGCTTTCGTCATCCGGGAATACGTGACGTCAGCAATGTTGTCCAGGATCGACTGATTGGGCAGCGCGATCGACCGACAGCGCAGTCCTACCGATCGCGCCCAACGTGTACCTTAGCCAAAAGTTATAAAGCAGTGCATTGTTCCAAGTGGCTCCATGAAATACATGGCCAGGTCTGTTAGCGAATTTGATAGGATGGACGATACTTGAAACGACATCGATTTCCGTCCATATCATAATTATGTCCTGTTTCTAAAGGGCCTGTCGCACCTCGACGATTTAGCCAGCGTATGCCGACACGTCGTCGCGACGTATGAAAAAAACTCAGTGAATACGCTGGCATACGTGGAATAAGTTATGGATAACTTATAAGTTAAGAGCACGCCGAAGCACGCTGGTATGCGTCGTAGGACGGCGAGGTCGTTGACAAGTTTTGTGCATTCATAAATTTGTCGATGTATGCCAGTGTATGGCTCATATGACCCGCATTACACGGGCCGTAAGTTGCAAGTATAACTATGGAATCGTCGACACACGTCCACACTCGCTACTCGTGAGTTACTCGAAAGTCGAAATACGTCGAGATAATGTCTAGCGTACCCAAAACTTATTTCTAACCTGAGTAACGTGCTTTGAACCTATGTGTAACTTATATCGAACTTGTCTCCAACGCATATTGACGTATGTAGACGTATATCGTATTGACATGTTCCAGACGACCACGGAACTTACTGAACGTGTTTCTAACTTTATAAGTTATCTATATGTATAAGTTATCGAAACGTTCTATGTAAGTTACCAATGTTTTGCACGTGTATACGTCCAACTCGTTATGAATACGCTATATAAATGCCCCAAACTGAAAATACGTGTAATACCGATAGTTCAGCGTTTCTTCGTACGCACGTCGGCATACGCTGGCTAGATTTTCAAGGTGTGTGAGGGCCTTGAGGGTCAATCCTATAAACTAATGCAAAAACATACCTCAGCCCTCTTTGTTGGACCATGTAACAAAATATAATGCTAGGGTTTACTGTGAAACATGAAGCTTTTAGCAGGAGGAATTTATTCACAATTATACTTCGCAGGTGAATGAGAGAAAAATCTCAAAGATACGATCAGTCTTAAACACCTCACGTAAAAATGTTCTGTCTGATCTACAACCATCGTTAACTTTGACTTGAATTTTACCACGGGCCTTGTCTTTTAGCTGATTAGTTATGATTCGTGATCATCGAGATTTGGCTGAGATCAGTATTCAGGGTTTTAATTCTTCTAATTTTTCAACGACATCCTACCCGGTGGAATTTGCATTTAATCAGAGGCCCTTCGGACTTGGCAGTTACGACAAGAACCTTGTTTTATCAGAAACGAAAACAATGAAAAACATATTAATGCCACATAAAAAAGTCCCTCTTGTAAGTAGAATCTTGTAAAACAGTGCTCTGTATATGAAAGATTGATTTGAAACTTGTTTCTCCTGCCATTGAGCTTTGAAATAAAGTTAAACCTTTCCCTCTACAGTTCTGTGTTCCCGTTCCATTATCTTTTGTTAACAGTTTGAATGACGTGGTAGACCAAATCGCCGCAGTCTTCGTTCGCGACAGTGGGCAAGAAAAGCGTCTGTCCTTGAATGCTAAAATTTCCGCAAGGTTTAATTCCCTAAACAATAACTAAAGGCATTAAATGATGCATAATGTGTTTTGCTGGACGGTCATAAATGGAGAATGTGAGTCCTCATCAATCAATTGTGGCGCTTGAAAGGATAAGAAGGGATGGCAAATGAAAATTACATTGCCTCAGTAAATAGAGGGTGCCATTTGAGCCCGGCCATTTGGACCATTACTAATGCTGCCTGTTTACCCATTGGGTTAAGCACTCTATGTTGACAGTGACAGCGAAAGAGCTTATATTACTGGTACATTGTAATTAGCTACCAGACACCAACCCATTATGGTCAAGGGTACCTAAGAAACGGGCTGGAAATGGTGTGTTCTGACTTCAGTTTCGAGCTGTCTGTTATGAGGTGGACCGTCCGAGACCAATCGATGGAATATCTTAACCATTCTTTGTATGGTGCAAAGGGAAAGTGGTTACAAGTTTTGTGAATATTGAAGTTGGAGAACAGGAGTGACTGCAGCGTACTGTTGGAGCAAATATTCATGACGAAATTTGCATCTGCTTGACTGCTGGAAAAAAAACATTTAGGGATCAAGGAAACGTACATGTGGACGTGTGTGTACGTCTGAGATCATTTTCTTTCTCTGCATGTTTACAACTTAGATTGAGTTTGCATTTCTTCTGGATATTTGGAGGAGTCGAAATGAACAGTTCATCTGCAGAGCCTTCTGACCTGTCGCCATTTCTCATCGGCCTCCGCACCGCTTTCATCACCTGTCTCGGTGTTCTTATCTTGACCGGGAACCTTCTCTCCGTTGCCGTCACTCGCCAAGTCACAGACCTGGCAGAGAGCACAAAGTTCCTGATGATAACCCTGGCGGTGTCGGGTCTCCTCATCGGGTTGTCGACTTCTCTTGGCGTCGCGGCCTCGACCCTGGACCGGTGGCCCCTCGGCATGCTGTCCTGCAGACTGGCCACGGTCTGGACAACGACGATATTCCTCATCTCGTCGCTTGCGGTCGTCTTCCTAAATCTGGAGCGGTACATCGCCGTCACCCGGCCGTACAAGTTTCCAGTGTGGTGCACCCGACGCCGCGTCTTCATTCTCGTATTTGTGGCCGCGGTGGTTTCCTTGTTCGGCGCTTTGGGTATTCAGTTCGCGTTCGGCATACCTGTGAAGTATTACAGATCCTCATCCCTCTGTTTTCTCGGCCAGAGCACCAAGTATGGCGATGCACTAGCGCTTGTACTGTTGGACATTCTGCCGGTGTCGATCATGACGTTGGTTTATGTCCGCCTGATCAAAATCAGCCGAGAGCACGCCCGACGATTAGGCGGGGACAACCAGAACGAGGGGAGAGGTCTCCATGACAACCGAGCTCTGAAGGCATTTCTTACGGTCACGCTCACATTTGCCGTGTGCTTCACGCCGTTACTTGTCTACAGAAACGTGGAATCCTTTGCGGGGGTTAGTCTGCCGGGCTGGGTGGAGTTCGTGGCCATGTGGCTGACCTTTGCCAACAGCGCCTTCAATGTCTTCATCTACTGTCTGTTCAAGCATTCTTACCGTCACAAAGCGAAAGAGATTATCAAGCGACTGCTGTCTTGTAGAAATTCTGTTGAACCTGTGTTAACCTAAGGTGCCTTTGCAACGCCAAGGCTAAGTGCCAAAAAGCCTGACACATATTTAATAGTAATTACCTCACGTGCAATGGATAGTGTGTTGCAAACTAACCAGCTTTGTTTGCTCCGATTTCACGATTCAGAAGCCACTGACTCGTTTCATTTTCTGTGCTTAGCTTGGCTCCAACTCAGCCTTGTCACGATTGATGCCCTTCAGTACCTTTATTTGAAAGTTTGTGAAGAATGCGTTTTTCTTTCTTCTACAAGTCTGCATTTCTCATATCGTAAAACGTTACCTAAATGATGGTTAGCCTTAATCGAATCAAAGCACATATCAAACTCTCTCTGTACATTAGCATGTTCGAGTCAATATATCACCAGTTATCAAGCTTAGAAATATTGTAATAAATTTGACTAAGTCTTCTCTCAGATCTTGCTTATTCTCTTGATGTCTTAGAAAACAACCATTAAACAGATAGGCTTTCTCTGATAGCATTGACAAACAACACCAGCTTCCTCTGTGAGATGTACCGAATCCTCACATTCATGTATATGAATTGCCAGAAGCATCATATGGCGTCAGAGCTCGTGGAAACAGGAAGAACTAAGACAAGACCTGAAGAAAGCCTCATTAATGAGGATGGATTTCGAGACTCAACAAGGCTTGTGGACAATTTTTAGCTGCAGTTCCATTGAGAACTGTTTCGTCTCTTCAGCAAATCATTCACAAGTCTGAGTTAAAACTTCTAAAATGAAACCTTCTGTATATTTTTTGCCTCCTGACAGTATTTTGAGAATGCAGCTTTAATGTCCATGATCGAAAGCATGACGATAACGGATTTTCTCCAGGCGCAACAGCAGAAGACGCGAACCATCACTTTTCTGAAGGAAATCTTCAAACAAGCGGATGTTATCTTGACCCCTGGTAAACAGAGACAAAGAAAAACCTATTACAAAAGGAGGGAGGTAGACAGGATTGATGCGGAGTTTTGGAGAGTTGCATAAAAATGATTCTTCTTTGAAACCTTATTCTGAGTGCAACGCTGGACATTGCATTTTCCCCTGTTGGTAGTCATTGTATTTTGTTTGTCACTTAATTTAAACTGGTCTGCCTGAGTATCGTTGCTAAGTAAGTTGGCATGTTACGATGGGTAAAATAGGCTCAAAGTTGTGTGGCTCTATTTGGGTTTTTTTAACAGGCGGGAGGGGGCTCTACCAACTTTAGAAATGATAATTATGAGGCATTTAAATCTAACCGAATTTTGATTTGTTGCAAAGTTTTTGAGAAGTGAAAAAAAAACCATTCGGGGGTAAGTAACTAATTTGGGGAGTGGTTGGAAACAGAATTTTGATTCTTCTCATGTAATGAGGCGTCATTGGAGACTAGTCACATAGCAAGTGATTCGGAATAGATCTATGTGTATAAATCCACAATTTGCTGAAGTTTAGGTTCCCCTTGTGCAGGTTGTGCCGTTCTAGCCCCCAAAATCAATCCAGTTTATCTCAAAGAAGGCTTCACCGACACGAAACTGACTACAGATATTATGAGGTAAGGATGCTTTGGACACTTTGCAAGTGTTAAACGATTTCCCAGTCTTTTTCCTATTCTCGTAATAGATCGATCGCACCCACTAAATCACGTGACCTATATAGTGGGTATCAATCCCACAGCAACGTGTGTTTTGAGCGTTGTTTACAAACAATACAGCCAAGTTACAGTATAGTACCCAGCACATCAGTAGTCCGAGTATGGTGCCCACTGCCGGCTTTGTACTTGTGAAACGCTTTTGGTGGACGCCGTGTTGGTTGACATTTAATACCCACTATAGGTCACGTGACTTAACCGGGCGCAATCGGTCTATCAAAACAAAATCCTTTTGTCAACACGCATCCGAAAGTGTTGCCACTGGATGGAAGCACCATATGCATGCTGGAAAAATCTCTTTTGATTAGAATTGTCGCTCAGAGAAGAACCGATGGCTTTCAGTCGACATTTAAGGAAGAAGTTTTAGCCCCGCCCTCAGCAGCTCTGTTTCTAACGTAGAGCCACACGTGCTTTTACCGTGTTTCCTTTTTCCCCACCAGATACGCGTTCCTGGCCAACTTCACCGGTCTGCCCGCCCTGGTCGTGCCCGTTGGCTACAGCATGCAGGGCCTGCCGATTGCCCTGCAGATCCAAGGGGCCTGGTGGCAGGAGAGCAAGGTGCTGCGGGTGGGCCGAGTCGCCGAGGAGTTCCTGGAGCACGTCCGGAAGCCCCAGGCCCACTTCCAAATACTGGACTAGGGCATAGATGTGGAAATTGATCAGAGAAAAGAGGATGAAAACAAGTTTTGTATGAAAAACAATCCCCCAGAATTTTCCCCCATTCCACTGCTGACAGATTGTCAGTTTGCCGCTGACCAGTACTTGCCCACCTCCCATCATGGAGACGCCCATGGTCATAGAGCCACTTTAAATCAATAGAGCTTATTCTCGCTTCCAAACTTGAAAAGTTCACTGGCGCCAAGATACATTTGTAAAAAAAAAAAACATGTCGTATAATTATAAGAAAACAAAAAAACCCAGCAAACGTAGTGCTAGGGTTAGGCAATAAGAGTACTCAATTTGAAATTGATCTTATCAATTGTGTACCGACTACTCACGAAAGGAGCAGTATACTACTAACACGGTCGCGTGTGAAACGATGTTTTTTCAAGATGTTTCCATTTCAACATGAATCACTCTCCTGGGCTGAAGTTTTGACCGAATGACCCCTTATGAGAAACACTTCAATTTGCGACAGATTCTTACACGTTAAAAATTTCTCCTTTTTGAGCGATTTCCAAATATCAGCTTCGTGAAATCCTTGTGGAGACCTATACACCTTGTGAAATTCACGTAGAGCGGTCACTCGCGTAATGTGAATGGCCTTTCACTCCAGCGATGATTCAGTTTGGAACTTTCTACCGGGTGTCACTGTTGGTGAATCCGCCACAGCAGGAAGCGAGGCCTTCAGCTCATGAGCACGTGATCTTGAGCATTGTTAATCTGGTTCTTCCGGTTTATTGTTTCCCTAATCACTTTTCAAGAAATTGTGAGTCTCAATTCTGCGCGTTTTTGTCCTTATTGTACAAGACTAGCGGGCACCGATTCGCAGTGTTCCTCGGCAATTTTATTAAAAAAAAGTCTCAAATTTGGATTGTTTTCCAGGCACCCTTGACATTGCCAACTGCATCCAAACCATTGTAATGCAGATTGATGCTGAATGTAGGTTTCAATGTTGCTGTGATGTGCATTTCCTCGTTATGTATAATCATTTTGGTTTTCTCGTGTAGTGTGTCGCTGGGGTCTAACCCGATTTAGGAAGAACCCCCCAAAAAATACAAACAAACAGTCCAGTTCGACAAAATAAGTAATCAAATATTCAGAAACACAAATGGTGTGTCAGTGGCGATTCCAATCCGATGCAGAAAAGGAGAGCGAGGCACTGTACACCAGAGCAAGGAATGGAAGGCCTCACCCTTGCACAGAACCCATCACCTCCGGCCAGGCTTTTGCCCTCTACATTGTTTTATCTCAAATAAGAAAACCATGCCTGACACGGGGGCCACACCACAGAGGGTAAATCGAAAAAAGAAATATGCTGAGGCGGCATGTCCACCCTGAGAAACAGTAGACTTGCCCTAGTCATATACAAATTGATAAAATCGTGGCAAATTTTGGGGTAATTTGGGAGGTATGACAAGTGTAATCTGTAGTCATTAAAACCTGTGACATTTTATCCATTCCTATTAGTCAAGAGCCCATCTCCTGGCCGATTTTCAACGGTTAATAAAGCACTGGCTGGCTGATAATAAAAACACTCTCCCAGTGTCCATGAGGTTAAGACTCGTGTGAAATCGGGTCCCTGTTCCTAAGTAGTTGATTGAGCGTTCACAACCCTCACTTGTGCATGCGCAAAACTACAGTGAGTCCGCATTGTGAGGATGCTCGATATACATGCACACGACACACGGGCTGTTAGCGTTCTTGGCCAGTGTGTGCTATTCGCAAGGATGTCATTACTACTTGCAAGAGGCGCATACCGTAACATGGCTGGAGAGATGCCAGGGGAAAAGAAGTAAAACTGTTTGACGAAATCGTTGAAAATTTATCTTTTTTTTTTTTACTGTTTAAATTTGATTTTCTGAGTCTAAAGCTTTTTATGAACGGGAATAAATGCATGTGCTGGTTGCATGGCCTGAAATGTCCTGAGCCACAGGCAAGAGACATAAATCAGCGTCCACGCGTCTTAGCAAATTATTTAGTCTCCTAGTGGAGTTCAGTTGGTTTTGTTTTTGTTCTGTAAATCATCGGTGTGATGTAGTTGTCATACATTTGGCTATATACTAGGAATGGTTTTGTGTGAAGTAATTTGGGCAATTTGAAAAGATTTTTCAGAATATTTTCGCATATACATATATATTATGTATATTAACCTAATGTAATCATATCGGTGTGCTTGTTTAGGGGAATTCATTCTATTCTGAAATTTATTCTCAAGTATAAAATTAAAAGCCTTCTAGTTATGATTTAGATTTTATAAGTGCATGTACTGTACAAGAGCTTCTGACGCTTTTTCACAAAATATTTGAACTCAATCTGTGGTGCGTATTCTATCAATTTCAAAGTTGAAGACTGTTCCTTTGAGTAGAGCATGATGTATAATTTGGCTTCCTTTTGCTGCACTAATCAAGACAACGAAACGTTCAGAGAGAGATCCACGCATTCTCAATATCATGGTTGAATGTCATGGCTGTCGATCTTTTCACAAATAAATTCATGATTAATGTAATTAATTTTCCTGTGCTCACGAGACTAAGCGGGAAAATTTTCCCGCTTAGTCTCGTGCGCACAGGAAAATTCACGATTGTAAAGTCTCTTTACAGAGCACTAAAATGCCGCTTAGATTAGAATCTAATAGCAAAAACGATTTAATGAGATTTTCTGAATAAAAATTGGACAAAGCCCGGAAAACTGAGAGAAAAATGATCAAAATCGCACTCCTGTACATTTTCAACGTCCCTTGCCGCCCAAACCATTTGTGCGCATGCATGCATAATTATGAATTTATTAGTGAAAAGGCTTATTGAGGGGATTCAACACTGAACAGTTATTTCCAGGTTGCTTTATACACTGATCTTGGAAAGATGGTTATACGGTTATGTTCATCCAGTGACTGGACGTCAACATTTGGAATATCAGCCATTAAAAAGGGGATCAGTTAGTGTGATATTAAAGGAAAGTGCATGTTTTCAAAGATTTGCGCGACAAACTCGTGCAGGCTGTGGGTTATTATGTGAACACCAAAAACAGAATCAAAGAATTACTTAGTTGAGACGATGATCCTCGGTTATTTTCCTGATTCCTGAGTTGGAAGCCACTCTGCGTTTCTGTTTGGAATTCTAAATGATAGGAATCGTTGCGGGGAAAAAGTCTTAGGCCACGTTCAAAAATGTTTAGCGCCTCCCGCTTCCTTTTTGAAGCATTTTGTATTTATTTGTGATAATAAAGCACAGGATAATGAAATAATAAATCAACAACATAAGAATAAGGGGAACAAAAATGCCAATCCACCGGGAAATGGAATACATAGCCCAGTACGGGTCGGAGTCTCCAAATGTAGGCTCTGTTGGTCACTTTCCACATGATGCAGTCGACCATGTTGTATCCCAGCATAGTGCCTTCGTGGTTGCGTGTGCCCTAGTCTTGGTTTCAAGGCTCAAATTTCCCGTTGTTATTCCTCAATCACGTATACTTACCCCTTTCACTTTGTGCGTATGCGCTGAAATTCGTCAAAGTCTTGGTCACTTTCTGTTGCTTCTTAAAATGGCGACGCCAGCCAGCAAACGACTATACCAAAATCCATCTGCGGAGGTCTTCCGCGTGGTGTAAAAGGTTGCTGAATTTCTACCAGAGAAATATAGTCGGGCTTCAGATTTCATTTTTGTGATGTGTTTCTTGGTAATCATAAGTGACATTGGGGAGAAAATTGTGTGAAAATCGTCTTTGTACGTTACATTTTCAAACGTAAGAAAAGGGCATTTTAAATTTAAAATCGGAATTTTGAATTGTTCTCCAGTTTTTCCTCGCATGCTTCGTATTTTGGTAATTGAAAGAGTGTTTGAAAAAGAATTGCGAATTGTCCGTTAGTTTTATCAATGTCAGGGTGCATTCCACTAAATGGAATGCGGTTACAGGGCGTTGTATGCAGGCGAGCCACTCTCATTTGAATTCAGAAAAGTGTCAATCAATAAGCGCCCTCTGTAGTTTGAATTAATCCACTCCGGCTAAAATGCAAAAGTCTTATTGGACTATGGACGCCTGGGAACATGGTTACAGCTGCAAATTAGCCTTTTGCGAGTTAAATTTGAATATAATACACTGAGTTCTTTAAATTCACGTGAACATAACAGGTTGAATTCTCCGTTCTAAAGACGCTGTTGGTGTATACCCTTTTCACCCACATGACTTAATGTAAACAATACCACCACGTGTGCACCGCCTTGGCCACGGTGGTCCCATTATATTCCTACGGGCAGCTTCAACCGCGTGCAAGCGCACGTGCGAACGCTACATGTTTGACTGGTTTATGTTGAATTGGTAGATTACCATCACAACACAGCATAGG